CGACGACATATTATATAACTTATTTGGACTTCTAGATCAAAAGATATAATAAAAACAAAATCCGCAAAAACTGTTTTGCAGCGCCGGACGCCAAGCCTAGCATCTGGCGCAAAAGATATGATAAAGCTCAGCGTTTGGCGCCACGCGCGTGTTTGGCGCTGCGATCGTGTTTTATTCTTTTCGAAACTCTGGTTCGTTTTTTATCACATCCGGCTGATTTTCTCTATAAATAGCCTCCTAAAACCTCCGTTTTCAATCATCAATTCTCTAATTCTCTCTTTCACCAACTCTCATCAAGAATCTCTTGATTACTCTCTCTCTCTCTCTTTTCTAAACTAGCCTTTTGCATACAAAATTCCGTATTCACAAGATCTAGAAACACCTAGCCAAGTTCGAAGTTGCCTTCGCCCTAGACGTGAAATGTTTTAATTTCTGAGGGTTTGGTCCCAAATCTCTCTTTCAATTATTTAATTTAATTGTTTTGATTTTATTATTTTCCTTGAATATACTAACGTGTGTATTTTTTTATTAGAAAGAGGTACGAGGCAACAAAGTAAGTGCTTTAATTGATTTATTGTTGTTATGATATAGAGACCATGTTTAGGTTGTTATGTTGATTCCTAGTATCATGTTAGGATGCTTTTCTTAATTTGATGTTTTGAATAACAACAATGATTCCTAGTATCATGTTTAGGGTAATAACTATAATTTTAATATCAATTATGACAATTGTGATTCCTGCGATGCTTCATATTCTCTTTCTTAAAAGTATGTTAGTATCATGTTAGGATTAAAGCTTTGATTTTTATTATTTAGTGACTAGCTAGGGCTTGTTATTAATCTTGTTAGTATCATGCCTAGGATCTTTCTATTATTATGCTTTAACATGATTATTTTATTGATGATTATTATTATTATGATTATTATCATGTTGCTTGATATTGATATTTATTGTTATTGCTTGATCACGTCTTTTATGCATGTTTAAAGGGAATTGGTACTTATAATCACGCTTAATAAGATAATTAATAATCTTGTTTAAGGTTAACATGATTATAATTCAAGTGATCGCCAATAATAGATTTGTTTGTGCATTTATTCAACCAACATAGATTAAACAGGTTTAGGTAATCCTATTGATTGCATGTTAGTCAGAAAGAGCACATGAATACAATCAGAATAAAGTAGAGGCCTATTATTAGGGCAGGTTCAATCTCTTTTAGGTTGGATTTGTACCTTCATCCTCGAACTACCAGTCATGGTTCTAGACCTATTGGAGTTAACGATCTCTTGGATCGTTAAGGGGTGTAACCTTCACCCTGTGAACGGTTTACAAGATCCTAAAACTTGTTGGAGACTCTTTTGCTCTAGCTTCCTTCCCTTTGGACGCCACCATACTTTAGTGTATGATCACAGTGGGGTTCAAGTTTGGGGTAATGCTTGAAATATTCCCTACAGCTGCAATGTCTCGGTTCTTGCTTGCGGAGTAATTCCGCTTCTTTTGCTTAACTATCCAACACGTTGGGTCGACCTTAAGCTTATGGGAGATAAGGTTTGGATCACTACCAGGCATATCAGCTGCCGAGAAAGCAAACTCATCTCTATTTTCCCAAAGGAGTTGGATAAGCTCTACATGATCGTTTGGATCAAGATCATGTCCGATTGTGACGCACTTTTCAGGGTCTCCTTCAGTCAACTCGACCAATTCAGTCTGATGGTCCAGCTTCATAGCTTTGGGGCCGGACTCTTCACAATCTGGCCTGATGTCGATGTCAGCTGGCTTCCCAAACTTTTTCTTCGGCCAGTCCTCTGAGTCTTTCGGCCCAGGTGAAGGTCCAACCTTATCTTTCTCTAGCGATTTTTCTCTCGCCAGAGAACCTTGAGATGAAGCGCTTAGGCCTTTCGGCTTCTTTGCGCTAGGCTCTCTTTCTTTTTCTTTTTCCTCCTCATCCTCATCGTCGTCGTCTTCCAAACGACTAGTGGACAACTTGAGGTAATTTCACCTTCGGGCTTCCTTTTGGCGTCCCTCGATTCTTTCGGGTAGCCGGTGTCTGAAACGTGAATCATCATTTGATGATACGTGGAGACTACTCCTTGAATCTCGTGAATCAAAGGTCTCCCCATGATCACTTTGTACATTGAAGGAGCATCAATGACCAAGAACTCAGCCATGACATTCATAGCTGCTTCGTCGCGGCTGATGGTGACAGGAAGAAGTATCTTCCCATCGGGGTAAGTTGAAGACCCGTTGAATCCAGATATCGGGTAAGGTACAGGCGTTAGGTGCCTGGTCTTCAGCTTGATTTGATTGTAGGCCTTTCGGAAAAAAATGTTTGCTCCGCTACCACCATCGACGAGTGTACGCCAGACGTTGTGGTTGGCCACCGTGGTGATGATCACCAGGGTATCCTCGTGAGGGTACGTCACCCCCCGGCAGTCGGCGGCTGTGAACGTCATGTTTGGCATCGGCGACTCAGGAGGCTAGATGTCAGCGTGATTCACCTGGTGGGTCAGCGCCCTAAGGTGACGTTTTTGCTCCCTCCGAGAACACGTCCCTCCGGAAATGGCAAGGATAGGAGGGTATCCCTCTTTGTCCGGTGCCTTGTTGTTTTTCCGGGGGAATTCAACTTGTTGCCAAGAGTCTTTCTCGGCATTTTCAGCTTTTTTCTCCTTGTGGTGATTTGCGAGGTATTTTTTCAAGTATCCCCTTCGGACCATGTCTTCAATCTGGCCCTTCAGCTGGATACATCTTTGGTGTTGTGTCCAGGGGACTCATGGAATTCACACCACCAATCTTTATTTTTCTGCTGATACCACTGAGAAAGTGGTCTTGGCTTTTTATATTTGTGCTCGTCCTTGGTCACGCTGTAGATTTTCGCGTGAGGAAGGGCAAGCAGCGTGTAGGACTCGCATCTGCCCAAATGAGGTGTAGACTTATCCTTCTTCGGCTCATTGGCCGAAGCTTGTTCCGAGGCTTTCGCCTTTCCCTTCCCCTTCTGGCCTTGGCCTTTAGACGAGGTCTGTTGTTTTTGTTTCCCACCCGCGGTTTGAGGATGGATTTTTTTTTTGTTCCACTCTTCAGCTCGGATGAACTAATCCGAAGCATTCATAGCTTCCTCCAAGGTTTCCGGGGTATGCATAACCATGAAGTCGAGAAACGGTCCAGTTCGAAGGTCGTGATGTAAAGTAAAAACGACCAGCCCCTGGTCAAGGCTTAGAATACCAGATGACTCGTTGCTGAAATGAGTCAGATAGTCTCGGAGACTTTCGGTCTCCCCTTGTTGCAGTCCTATGAGCTCTGATGTTGCCTTCTCTCGGCAGTTTGTTGTAGAAAACTTGCTTTTAAACTTGGTGGACAGATTGTCCCACCCCATTATCGAACCCTCCTTGACTCCCTTGGAGATCCACGCTTGCGCGACCCCCTTGAGAGTAGTAGGAAAGTATTTACACCAGGTCGCTTTGGACCTGGGGTTCAGATGCATGTGCCCCTCGTAAGAGGAAATTTGGTCCTTCGAATCCGAAGTACAATCATAGGTGATGTGTGACGGAACTTTAACCATCGGCACATGTTCTTCCAGTATCCATCACTCAATTGGAGAAATGGTGGGAAGCATTACAGCCTTTCCTTTATTCCTGACCAAAGGGACCGCGCTCCGCCCTCTCAGAGAGGTAGAAGTGGCCGGGAAGATTCAGGATGAGCCCCGACTTGATCAAGGAAAGAGAGGCGGATGTGCACTCTCGGTTCCCTTACATCGAGACGATCATAAACGCTCCGGTGAGCAGATTCTGGCCAAGAGGCAGAATTGCTGCTTTTGTTGCTTTGGAAGATCACGGTGTCGGACTCTTTGAAGAAATGCGGGTTTTTACTCCTTTCCCATTCAGTTCTCCATGTGTCCTCTTCCCATTTGTCCTCCAATTCTTTGAAGGATTTGGGCCTCCCCCCTCTTGCCTGATTCTCCTCCGCTGATGCCTGGTATGCGGAGGTGATCGGTCATGTAGAGGAGGCATGGTTCCAGCCTTCATGGCCTCTATGAAGACCGCTAGAGCTCTCGCAATTTCCTCGGTTGAGGGTCCCGTTTAAGGGGTCCTCAACTGAGTTTGGGAGCGAGTGTGGATGCTCAAAGGTGGACTTCAAGCATTGGAGTGACTCGGACGCTGAGAATTCGTCCGTTGAGAATGATGAGAGGAAGATTGAGTTCTCTCTCTTGATGCCCCCCTGAGATGGCCTCCCCGGAGGAATGCCTGGTCGGTGAGGCTTGCGGAGACGGCGAGGGCTTCTCAGGCACCCCGTGGCTCCTCTTTGACGAAGAGCTGCCACTCCCGTCGGATTTCTTGCTCTTACGGTTAGATTAGAGTAGAACAATTGAGATTAGCTTAAAGATTTTTTTAAAGTCTTCCCCACAGAATACGCCAAATTTTTTCGGGTGAAACAATAGCACCCTGTCGAAGGTCCTATGAAGTGGATGAAGACTGAGCTCTATCCAAGTGATGTTGAGCCGAGGATTTCCTGCACAGCAAACATACGTAAAGTGGCACCGGGGGTGTGCCGAGGAAGGCCCTCCGATGTCAAAGTCACTATAGTGTAGAGAGAGAAAGTGTTATGTAAGAGTATTAATTGCTTGAGGCTATATGTGAATGAATGCAATATGGGAGAAGTTAAGGTTTTTATACCTTAGCACAATATGAAAAATTTACCCTACACCCTAGTGTAGGGTATGTTCCCTACACCCCCCTTAAGCTACGTCGTTTTGTAGTTGGGGTAGAGTTCTCATGTGCAGCTTCATTTTGCCATTCTTTCCCTGTTTTTTTTTTTCTTCCTCTTTTTTCCTTTTTTCTTTGTTTCTTATTATTCAAGCTATGTATATATATATGATTTTAAACCCTATTTTTTCTCTCTCTTCAATTGATCAACCTCTATTTTTTATCTACATTTTTCTCTTGTTATTTCATCTTCTTCATTTGATTTTTTTTACGAATTTGATAATTGTTACCGATCATCAATGACGAATTCTGCATCTGGAGATTGCGTTGATTTTGATCGTGATTGCGAGCGTGTGTTTCCTTCTGGAGTTCGTTTGGTTGATTCGTTGCTTCAACAAAGTGAGTAATTGTGATCATAATTTTGCAATTTTTAATCATCTCTACTTTGTTCTGTTATAATGCTCTGTTTATTTGAACTTAATTTATGTATTATTATTCATCTTCGATTTTTGAATTTACTACTTTGATTACACTATAATGATAATGTAATTCGATTGTTATACTTTGTATGAACATTTTGTTGCTTCTTTTGTTTTCTTTGTGTTTTAGAATTGTGTGTTTTTGTTGTATATTTTTTAGATTAATTTTATACTTTCAATTAATCATTTATGTTTTCTTGTTTGTAGTTATTAATTTGTTTATGTTCAGTCTCAAAGTCATTTTTGATCATTTATTTTTACATTTTTATATCGATATTATGTGCAGTGGTAAATAATGAAGATACTGTTTAAAATATTATGTGCTGAAATTTTTGCAATTGATCATGTGCTGTTTTAATATTGAACATTTTACTTATTTGTTATTGTTCATTCATGAAACTCTTTATGATCATTTATAATTGTATATTAAAACTTTGTGCAGTGGAAAAAAAGGATGATATTGTTTATTTAGAAGCAGAAAAGTCTGAATTAAAGGATAAGAATTTAAATCTGAAGATGAAGCTTTTGAAGCGTATAATGAATATGCTTTTAGGAAAGGTTTTGGAATTCGAATTGGGAAGAGTAAGAGAAGAAGAGATGATTCTTTTTTGATGAAAAGATTTGTTTGTTGTAATGAGAGATTCAAAGATAATAAGTGTAAGAATAAAAGGATTTATGAGAAGTTGGATCATCGAGCTGGTTGTTTAGCTTTTGTGCAGTTTCATATTGATCATTTAGGGGTCTATACATGTACAAGACATGAAATGGTTCATAATCATGCTATGATTCCTCCTGAAAAAAGGCATTTGATAAGGTCTCAAAGGGATGTGAATAAAGAGCAACTTCTTTTCATTTCAACAATGAAATTGAGCGGAGTCAAAGTTACTGGTTCTTTGAGGGTTCTAAAGAAGGAGGTTGGTGGATCTCCTAATCTTTCTTTTCCTTCTTCTGATGCGTATAATACATTGTCATCTGAAAAAAGCTACCCAAATTGAAGAATGTGATAGTAACCAATTGATTAAATATTTTGCCAAGAGACATGTGGATGAGGCAGATTTTTATTATGATTTTGAACAAGATGATAGTGGTGCTTTAGTTAGTTTTTTTTGGCGTGATGGTAGGATGATGAGAGATTATCATTACTTTGGAGATTTGTTGGTTTTTTACACAACTTATAGAACTAATAAATATGGAATGATATGTGCTCCATTTGTTGGGATGAACCATCATGGTAACAATGTCATGTTTGGTATGTGTTTTATTCTTAATGAGCGCACCGAGGCTTTTGATTGGTTGTTTGACACATTTTTGCACTCAATGGGAAGGAAAAGTCCCATTGCAATTATGACTGATCAAGCACAAGCGATTGCAGCGGGTATAAGAAACATTTTTCCTTCAACTGTTCATCATCGTTTATGTGTATGGCATCTTGAACAAAATTCTAAGAAACACATTGGAGCATTGAGAGCTTTGGAAGGCTTTACAGATTTGTTTGGATATCTTTTGAAGTATTGTGAAACTCCTGCTGAATTTGAATATTTCTGGAAAAGGTAAATTATTGTTTTTTGTATTTATTTTTTATTTTTATTATGTTATATATTTGATTATTATGTGTTATAGATATGAACATTTAGTGTTTTATATATGATCATACAGTTTTTTCTTTTTTTTTGTATGTTATCATAATATTATTAGTGTCCATATTGTTTATGATCATTATTCTTTATACAAATGTACATATTTTAATTTATATTTTGCTCATTTTTCAATTAATATATGATCATTTCTGTTATACAGGATGTGTGATAAATACAAATGTGAAAATGATGATTGGTTATGTGATTTGTATAAAATAAAGGAAATGTGGTGTCCTGCTTATTCTAAGAAGTATTGGTCTGGTGGTATATTGTCCTCTCAACGTAGTGAAACTACTAATAACTGAGTTTCACAACGTCTTAATAAGACTCAAGGTTTATGTGATTTTTATCATGTTTTTCTTGATGTCGTTTCTGAGTGGAGAAGTAAGGAAGGTGGAAGAGATTACAATACTTTGAGGGGTAATAGGCACCTAGCTTTTGCTAATATTGGTATATTAATTCATGCAAGATCATTGTACACTATTCAAGCTTATGTGCTTTTTGAAGAGGAGTTCATTAGGGGGACAGCTTATGATCATGTTGATAATGGTTTGCGTTTTCCAGAATATTCATATCTTCTTTGGAGGCCTGGGAAGGATATAATTAAGCATGAAGTTGTTTTTAATAAGGAAACACATGCAGTTTGTTGCACATGCATGTACTTTAGTGAGACTGGTTTACTTTGTTCTCATTCTCTTCGAGTATATCATTTGCATTGTGTGCGTAATATTCCACAAGAGTATATAATGAAACGATGGACAAAGGCTGCCATTTTTAGTAATGGTATTGAAGAACCTACTTTGAGGAAAAATGTTGTGGCTACTAGTGTTTGGAGGTCACAAACAATCAGAAAGTTTGTGAAGTTGATAACAAGTTGTCAGAATTCTTTGAATGCAAGGGCAGAGGTTGAGTGTTATTTCAATCTGTTAAAAGAGAAGGTTGACAGCATATCAGGTGTAATTGACTTTAGTGAACCTATTAAAGAGGTTGAAATTGTTGATCTTGAGATCAAGAATCCTCCAAAAGCTAGGCCTAAAGGTGAGAGGAATGTAAGGCCTAAGAGTACCTTGGAGAAGCAGTGCAACAAGGCAAAGGGTAATTTCAAGAGGAAAAAGTCTATGTACACTCCTTACAAAAGGGGTATAGGGCAAGCAGTTGTACAGGTATATCATCATTTAATATTTTCAAATTGATCATTTCAGTTTTCGTAAATGATCATTTATGTTTTTTTTTAATAGGAACTTGATGAGAATGATTGTGTTGTTACTTATGCTAATTCTATTAGTGATCCCACTGAATTCATTGTTTTGAGCAATAAACGGTCTCAGGTAAATTCAAATGTGCCAAAAAAAACATTTTATTTATATTTTATTAATATTGATTTTTATAATTTAAAAATATAGGTTGGCTTTAAATCAACTGTTGTAGAAGAAATTCCTTCTAGTTCTAAGGAATCAGATCATAGTATTTCCAATGATTTTGATCAGGTATGTTTGTTTGTTATTGATTATAAATTTTTTTTATTTTTTGGCATTTATGATCTATATTATAATTTTTTTATTTAATTTTTTTTTTTTTTTTTTTTTTTTTTTGTTTTTTTGTAGGCTACTGGTGAAAGCTCTCTTTCATCCAGCATATCTATTGATGTTGATATTTCATCTATTGCTAAGGTTTTTTTTTTCCTTATTTGTTTGTATAAGTGTTTGTAACTGATCATATAATTTATTTTTTTTAAAGGCGAAGGATTTAAATCTTGAAGGTGTTTCTGCTGTTCAAGCTCGTTCTAATGTTGGTGCAAATAAAGGTACTTCTGGTGTTAAAACTTACTCTCAAATTAATCCAAGAGTTCCAATTCATACTAGTGCGTCAACAAAATCTCTTGTTGTTATTCAACCTACTGTTCCCAGGAATGTTCAAAATCCAACACAGAATTGTTCAAACACCAATCCAGAAATGATCATATCCAACTCCAGGAATGTTCAATCAACAAATGTTCAAGTTATTTCTCCTACGGTTCAAATAAATGATCAAGGCTTTCGTGTTCAGAATGTTCAAGTTACTCCTCCCACAGTTCAAAGAAATGATCAAGGTGCTCGTGTTCAAATTCTTCAATCAAGAAATGTTCAATTAGGTTCTAAAAAGATTTCTTCTAAGTATGATAGGTTGTTAGCCTTTTTTTATACAAGTGTAGCTAAACGTTTGGCTAATAAAGATAAATAAGTTAGTATTTCAGAACTTTATAAACATTAGACTTTTTTGTAATGTTGATTTAAGTACTATTTTGTAATTTTGAATTTTCGATCTATTATGTAAAAGACATAAATATTATATTTTATATAGTACTATTTTTAGTATATTTGAACTTTATATTAGAATTTTATATGTTTTTAAAATTATACATTTATCAATGATTATTTAGTCATTAGAATTTTATATGTTTTAAAATTCTACATTTATCAATGATTATTTAGTCATTTGTATATGAAAAAAAACAGAATAGATTCATATATAAGAAATGAACATATACATAGTTGTAAATGAACATTTGAAACTACAAAGTTGCAAACTTTCTAGCTTTCCTTCTATTTGCTCTTGAGTCAGTGTTTTCTTCAAATAACATCAGTTCTGCTGTGTATTGGAGCCTTAGCTTTCTAATTTGTTCCACCTGTTGAACAAAATGAATTGTCAAATTTTAATTAAACAACCTTTACTGTTTCATAAATGAAGATTATATCTTAAATGATTGAACATTTATAACTCTTACATTGTTTGGTTTTAAATCACAAATCCAACTCTCATTAGGATCAGCAGTGAAGGTTTCCATATGCTTCATAATGTAAACTCCACAGTTTGTATAGTCATCGTTGCTACGCCATTTCATCTTTTCCAAAACAACTATGTAGTCTTCAATTCTATTTGCATCTTCATATCCAAGGTGTTTCATATACTCTGCCAATCCTTTTAACTGATAGAAACAAGAGTAAAAATTGTTTAGAAGTTGGTATTGTGATGAAGACATGAACAATTAATAAAATATAATTGATCATGTAGCTTAATATAAATGAACATACTATCTCACCATCATTTTTGGTTGTTCTTCATATTTTGCTTGGACTGATACATGTTTTGGTAGTTTTCTATTGTCAATTATATGAATTTTGTCTTATATATGATTGACGCACAACAGAAAAAAAATGTTGAGAAGTTGATACTGGGAAGAAGACCTGAACAAATTATATAATGTTATTGGGCAATATATTGAATGTAATTGAACATTTGTATTAAACAAGAATTAATACCTGTTTATATCCAACAATGCTGTCAATTTTATTCAACTTCAGTTCATTGTCAATTCTTTCTATGAAGGCATTAATTCTTGTATTCATTGATGATCCTTCTTGACAAACTCTATTTGTGCACATAATGTGTTGTTGAAATAGGATCAAACATATTGAAGTTAAATGAATTTTTAGCAATTATTTATCATAGGAAAATAGAATCAATAATATAAAAAAAGAAGAAAGACTAACATGAAGCATTGTTGAGAAATAAATCTTGTTTCTCGGCTTTTTATGATTAAGAAACCTTTCCCATCCATCTATGACACAATTTGTCACTTCAACATCATCTCCAAGAGTTTTTATTTCATTTCTATTGATGAGATTCAAGCCATCATAGTATAAGAATGCACTGCATTATGAACATTTAATAATATGAATGTGAACATATTTTTATAAAATATATTAAACCTTAAGTTTAATTAGTCTAAGTAATTACCTTTCATCTTTTCCACCAAGAGCAAAGTCTACTGCAATTTGGTTCATGTCTTTCTCATCTTTAAACAGATCCTTGTACTTGACCAAGTAAGGAGATCGGAAAGCAGGAGGAATTGTTTGCTTTTCACGTTGTGGTCTTGTTGTTCAATATAAAATATTGTTAAATTAAGAAAATTATGAGGAACATAAATGAACATTTGAGTGTATATAAAAAAATTTGAAATTATACCTTTCAACCTTTTCCTTTTAAGTTTTTTCTTCTTTTTTGCAATTGACTTTTTCTTTTCATCATTCCTGATCATATTACATAACACAAATGTACATTTAGATATATGAAAATGTTCATTATTATTTTTGAACATTTACTTAATATAAATAATGTACCTTTTTGTGACTTTTGAGGATGAAGCAACAATCTTCTTGTTTTCACTGAAATGTCAAACACTCTCAGTACATATTAATAAAATATAAGCTTCTTATGTAACACTCTGTGTGCATTTTCAATTCATAAAATGAAAGATATTGATTTAACATAAACCACAGATTCATATTACATATTCAACAAAATATTGTACACACATACAATAGTTTAAGAAACTCCAGTTTCAAGTTACAACACGATAGTAACATAAGTTAAATTTTTCCATCTAGATAATTTATCCTTACTAATTACATAACCCTAATAGTAAGACATGTCTTCAAGATTTTACCCCTCCACTTTTTCATCATTTTTTGTTTTTTCAAAAACATCTTCCTTGTTTTGTTCTCCACCTCCAATTGTGTTTTTTGGATCATCACTTTTTTCACCACCATCTGACCTAGGGTCAGCATCAACCACTGAACCAGATCCTGCATCTAAGAAAAAATTTAATTAGATATTAATTATTTCTTTGTAAATGAACATTTGAGTATTTATAATTGAACATTATACCTGTTCTAGGCAATCCTTCATTATCTGACCTAGTGTCAGCATCAAATTTTGAACCAGTTGCTGCATCTAACAAAAAAAATACAATTAATAATGAATATTTCTTGTTTGTAAATGAACATTTGACACTTTTTAATTGAACATTATACCAGCTCTAGAAAATTCTTCAATTCTTTGTTCTGAAGCTGCTGAAGTTTTACCCACATCCTTTTCTCCAGCTGTATTATAAATCATCATTTTGGAGATACACTAAGTTAATAGTATTTACACATAATAATTAGAAATGAACATTTCTACTTAAGTTTATGTACATTATTATTAAATATATGAACATATTACCATTTGTTGAAATTATTGGTTGTTCAATTATATTACCAAGTGTTGAAGTGGTGGACCCTGTTTCTGTTTAGGACAATTTAGACCACAAATTTAGAATTTTTCATATAAAAATTAGGATATATAGTCTCTTTTAGTTAGAATTTACCAATGGCTGGAGAAGGTGGAGTCAACCCCAAGCTGAAAGCTTTTCTGATGTCATATTCTTGTTCTTTTTCCTTTCCCTTTTTGGTTAATTTCTTCCCAGTCATTTGCTTCTCAGTTGTTTCCTTTTCAGACCCTTGCATCAGATTCTTCTCAGCTTGTGCAAGTGCATTTAGGAAATCCTCACTGCCAAAGAATTCTTCATCTTGGCTTTAAATTGATGGTTCCCTAGCTGCCACCTTTCCCAAAACTTCATCAACTTTTTTCACCAAGTCATTTCCAGGTAAGATGTCCTTTGCCTTCACCAATTTTGAAGAAAGCTTTGACAGGTTTGAACAAGTTGTGTTTACCAGGGAAAACAAAATCATACATGAAAACCTATATGAATGAATATTAAAAATTATGCAGTTGAACATTTAAGATTATACAAATGAACATTTATGTTAACAAAAGTGATCATTTTATAACCTCAGGACTTTCTTCAACTTCTACAGCAATCCTTGGTAGAATTTTCCCTCTCCCAAATCCCAATTCTAATTCAATCTTCAACCTCTCAAGAACCATGTCTCTATTCCATGCAGATATGATAGGAAATGTTCTTGGAGGCCTTTTGTCTAACCTCTGAACTCTATCAAAATAAAACAACTACAAGAAAAAAGAAAACATGGAACAGAACATAAACAATAAAAAAAAGTGCATTTATTTAAATTTAAATGAACATTTTGTATCTAAGAATATACCATCAGAAATTGAAGAGGGCCTTTGTAGAACCCCTTGCCTTGCTGCTTTCTCCAATCAACATGACATTTGATAAGTGAGTCATATACAAACTGACACCAGTTCAAATTTTTTTATGTTTTCTTTGTCCATCATAGAATAAAGAAATTTGAAATGGCATTGATTGTTTGATACACATTTCATCAAGCAGTTCACAGCCACTGCTAAAAAGTTAGTAATGAAATGTTCACTAGGTGGTCTGTTGTTGGTGAATTTATCATTTATGTATCAATTCACAATCTGCAAACAAAATGAACAAAACATTTATACTTTTGATCATTTAATGTATTTAAAATGAACATTTAAAACTGATAATACCTGACTCACTGATGGAGTTTTTCCTGACCATGATTTTCTCCATTTCTTCAGAAATTCTGCATACTCCTCACTAATTTTATCAAACTTTGGCTCAACAATTGGAATTTCTCCTGTAGGCAAGCCATAAACTACCCTCACATCCTCTACCTCAATTTCTATTTTTTCATTCTTTGGTAGTTCAAAACACTGGCTATTTTCTTCAAAACTTCCCAATAACCAGTTACAAAACTTTTGATCAAGTTGAGGTAAACTAATGTCAAGAAGTGATCCTAACCCTATATCAACAACTTGCTATTTTTGGGTAGGTGTCATCTTTTTATCCATGCAATGAACTTCACATGTCCTCCTCTCTTTGAAGATTTCTCTTCCTCAAATTCATCTTCCTGAATTTCCTCAACTTCATCAGTTTCCATTGCTTGAACAATTTCAATTTTCATTTTCTTTTTTCCCCTACCTTCAATCTTTCCTTCATCATACAGTAACATCTTTTGCTCCCCCTTTTCAGCCTTTGCCTTCACTGAATTCCCTTTCTTTTCCTGTTTCTTCCTTGGCTTTACTTCTTCCTCTTCCTCCTCTTCCTCCACCTCATAATCATCCTCACTGACAGGCTCTGCTTCTTCTCTATAAACTGACTCTTCACTATCATCATCACTGTCAGTAGAACTTTCATCAGTAGGATCTTGAGATGGTTCATCTGATGGTACTTCTTGTATTTTTTTTCTCTTTCCAGCATTTTTCTTGGCAGGCTTGACATCTGAAATTTAAATATATGATTTTATTGAAGTATTGAAAATGTACAGTAAGAAAATGATAAAATGAACAAAATTGTTTTCTCAAATGATCATTCTATATATAGGAATTGAACATTTATAATATATCATTATATACCTGCTTTTCTTTTGCCAGCAACCTTAGAAGTTTTCTTCACTTCTTCTGGAGTTTTCTTTTTTCCACCTATATATTGAAATTGAACATTAATGATATACCATCATAAATGATCATTTTATACATTAAGATTGAACATTTACCCTTTTTGCCTTGGTCTTGTACAACTTTTTTTAGCAGAAGCACCTAGCAATTTTTTGGTTGGAGTAGGTGCTGGAGGATATTCAGCAGGAGCACCTGCCATTTTTCTGATTGGAGTAGGTACTGGAGATGGTGCATCAGCTTCCTTTTGAATAGGAGAAGTCCTTGTAGACATTCTTCTCTTCTGTCCTATTTTTGCGGTTTCTTCAGCAGGTTCAACATCCTTCTTCTGGCTTCCCTTTTCAGATTCATCTAACAGAACATCTATTGTTTTTAAAAAAATTTATGTTAGTATATTTGAAAGTGTAATATTTATTGTGAAACAGAAAAGTATTATGATTACCTTGGCTCCTTGTAATTCTACCACTTGGCACAACAACAGGGCTTTTGTTTTTGTTTTTCCTTGCAACCATTTTGTATCTTGTTTTCATTTTGGTTAACTGATCACTTTTTTGTGATGATGGAGCTGTCTCCTCACTAAGTGTTGTGGAAACTTTATCATCATCTTGATCTAGAAGATGAGTTTCATCCTCAATTTGAACAAAATCAGGTGCAATTTGTGCTACATATGAAATGATCAAATATAAAAGATTAAATAAACATTTATGTAAATAGGATGACAAATGTTTACTATATACAATATAAATGAACATTTCAGATAATGAATATTACCTTTCTCTTTTGCAGTTGAATCTTCCATTACTTTAGACTTTTGTGTGTGTTCCTTTTGTCCATCTGTGTAATTTTTATTAGCGAAATACATTAATATTTTTGAACAATTATAATTATAAAGATTTAAAATGAACATTTTGTGTAAAAATATGTACATTTTCCACTATTTACCTTTCAGATCTGTTGTCTTTGTAGACTCATCTTCCACAGTTTTCTCTTTAGGGATTTTCTCCTTTTCAGGCTTTTTTTTCCCTCTTGTCCTTCTATGAAAATTTAATTAGTTAAAATTTATATTTTTTAAGCTTATTGAACATTCAATATTATGTAGATCCAATATGAACATTTTATGTAATAAAAATGTACATTTATAAATCTTTACCTTTTACATTTGTTGTCTTTGGAAAGACATCTTCCACAGTTTTGTCTTTAGGGCTTTTCTCTTTTTCAGTCCCTTTTTTTCCTTCTTGTCCTTATATTAAAATTTATTTAGTTAAAATTTAATTTTTTTTTAATCTTATTGAACATTTAATATTATGCTTTTCCAATATGAACATTTTTTGTAATAAAAATGTACATTTTAAAATTTTTACCTTTTTCCACTGTTTTCTCTTCTACTAGCCTTTTTCTTTCTTTTTTGCTTCACCTTCAAAAGTAATAGAATTGTTAAAATTGATATTTATGACTATTAAACAAAAATATTCAATAAATATGATCATTTACCTCTCCTGATTTCCTTGCTTGCCTTTTCCATTCTTTTGAGATTTCTCATAATTTTGATTGTCGATTCTTTGTACTTCCTGTAAATGTATGATACTGTTATATAACTTTGAAATATATTCATTAATTGATTATATTAATTCAATTATTTAAATTTAAACATACTTTGGGTTTCTCTCTATGTCTAAATGTATTTCTTGCATCTTGTCCTTTAATGTTGTTATTCTTGCATCATCTTTGGGTTTTCTGATAATTCATTAAAAATATGTTTGAATTTACAATTTTGATTAGTAAATAAAAAAATGAACATAAAGTCTATAAAATATGAACATTTAAATTATATTACTATTGGCCATGAGCAAACTTTTTTGTACTGATTTGCAAATGAACATATAGTCTATCTAAATTGAACATTTAAGTTTTCTTACTTTTGGCCAAGACTATTCTTTTCTGGATTGCTTTGCATTTTTGGTTGAACTTCTTCTTGCTTGCTGAAATCAATATTAAGAAATACTTTAAATAAAAATGAAATAAATGGTACACAAAATAGATAGTTATCAAAAATGAAATGAACATTATATATTTATACCTTTGATCAACTTCATTTTTGTCCTTTTTCTCAGGAGTATTCCTGTCTGGATTGCTCTGCTCTTCTGGCTGAACTTGTTTTTGCTTGCTGAAATCAATTTTAAGAAATACTTTTAATAAAAAATGCACATAAATTGTACACAAAATATACAGTTATCAAAAATTAAATGAAAATTATTCATTATTACCTTATATCTTCATCATGTTTGTCCTTTTCAGGTACAATTGTATCCTGGTTTTGTTCTACATTCTTTTCACTAAATATTGTATATATTCATTAATTAGAATTTGTATTATGAGAAATGAACAAATTTTGTATGTAAAATGAACATTTGTTTATATAAAAGTGATCATTAGTATACCTTTGATCCCTACTCTCTTTGTCAGTTGTGTTATGTGTAGCAGACACAATCTTAGTTGTTGCATGAGTAGCAGGAATGTTCTCACTTTGTTCACTTAAAAAAAAAAAGAATTATTTTATATAATATGATATTAAAGTATGAACTAATTTATACAATGAAGAAGATAATTAGTTATTTTGGTATAAAGCTTTTATACCTTATTGTTTGATTTGTCTCTGGTGGTCTTGATTTTGACATAACAAATTTCACTCGAACCTTTGTTTTTCACTAAAATTTTAAGAATTACCTAATAAGTTTGGTATATATATACAATGTACAATAATTGAATGTAAAAACAATTATTTTATACATATAAACTTACTTGTTTAAAGTGTATCTTTCATAACTATTACCATATTCATTTTGTTCTATAACCTTCTTTAGAGTTAATGGTTCGGATTTTCCATCTCTAAATTGAAGCAAGTGTATCACTCTAAATGACACATCACTACATTATAAATTAATTACATGACATTAGTTTGAATGCATATCACTGAAATGATTATTATCATATTTATATATGTGCATGATGATTTAATGAAATGTACATTTGTTATTTAAATCTCAATGAATACTCAAATGAACAAATATACATATATGATCATAATTATATCTATAAATGAACATTATGAGTATCAAATATGATCATATACAATGATGTTACAATGAAATGTACTTTTGTTCTTAAATCTCAATAAATACTCAAATGAACAAATATAAATATATGATCATAACTATATCTATAAATGAACATTATGAGTATCAAATATGATCATATACAAATAACATATTAAACAAAGATAAAAACCAATTTTTATCAAATACAACTAGCATATTAGACATGAACATAATATATTCTGTAAATGACTAATTACCTTGGTAATGGAGACATTTTTAAATCCGTACCAATTGACTTGTCAATATCTTTTAAAAGTTCAGGATCTACAATTGGATCATTTTGGGCGGTTTTTTTTTTTTCAATTTTTCTACTCTTGACTGAAGAGGTACATCATCATCATCATCATCATCATCATCATCATCATCATCTCTGTTTTATTTAATAAATTGTTAATGTTTTAGTTATTTTGTTAATTTTCAGTAAAATCTTACTACAATTACTACAATCGCAATAATATGAACAAAAATTAGGGTTCATACATAAAATTGAACAAAATTGAACAAAAATTAGGGTTCATACATTTCTTCAGGATTGTCACTGATTTACTCGTCTCTGAAGTGTTCTTCTCCAAAGAGATACTACAATTGCAAAAAATTGAACAAAAATTAGGTTTTACATATAAATTCGCTCTATAATTTTCATCGCAAGAAAATGAACAAAATTACTTACTCTTTGGTAACATTTTGCTCCGATTTTCCAGTTTCATCTTGCATGTTCTTCTATAAAGCGTTTTTTTTTCCAAAATCACTCTACAATCACAAGAAAAAGAACCAAAATTAGGCTTCATACAAAAATTGTACTAAAATCGTAAGTAAATGAACAAAATTACTTACTCTTTATCAAAATGTTGCTGCGATTGTTTAATTTCATCTCGAATATCAGACATTTGAAGCAATTATGAAGTGTTTTGAAGCAGTTTTGCAATAATTTGAAGGGAATTTCGTTCCAATTCGACGGTGTTGATGAGAGAGAAATTCTAGAGAAATGAAGAAGATGATTTTTAGAGAGAAAAAATAATTTGAAATGGATAGTTTTTTTTTAATATATATATATGTGGGGTAGGGGAAGTTATTTTCTAATTTACAGCAGTTACTGTGGTTAGTGGGGGTGAGTGGGGGTAGTTACTGTAGTTTGTGGGGGAAGGGGAAAAACGCAAAACACTGCGTTATGTAGGGGGTGTAGGTTATGGTACCTACTCTAGGGTCTAGTGTATACTAATTAAGCACAATAAGGAGAAATTGGCTTGAAGCCAAGTGGGCTGGCCATGTTGGCTAGACCCTTGACTTGACTTGGCATGAATTGAAGAATTGAACCTTTGACCTTGGGCTTTAATTGAATCATTTATGGACTGACCCAATTAAGCTAAATTGGACTCAAACCGAGTTTTTTTAAGAATGTCTATCATTAGAGTTTGAAATCTGAGGTCCATCAATGTTTCAGAAGTGTCAATCAACAAAATCAAGTTCAATAGATGACATGATCACCGTATCCTTTAGGGCTGGCTATGTCTTCAATTACCTCTTTTTCATGGGTTTTTCATTTTTATCAGTGGCTTAACGGTGGTGTAGTTGGTGGAGAAGAGAAATATGGTGTTGGAAATGGCTAGCCTCCCATTTAACCGAACATGAAACTTTTGCCTTTTTTTTAAAAAAAAAATTTGGAAATTGGAAAATTCCCAAATATTTAGGAAATTGGAGCAAAATTTTTACAAGACTACTTTTTTCATGATACGTTAACTATCAATAGATTGAAAAATGAGGCTCCATTATTATTAAAATTAGCCATAGGCGTCTGAACAAACATGCTAATATGGATCGTATCCATATCCGCATAATTAACAAGAGTATAAAATTCATATTCAATAGAAAAAAAAAGGGTAAAAGAATAAATTGAAAAGTAGCTTGCTAACAAGTGCAACTAATTTCAGTTCGAACTCTTCGAAGCAGAAAACTTCTTTCTCTTGGATTTTGGTTTTACAGCATCTTGTAGGGTCTTAATCTCACGAGAATTTGATATCACATCAGTAGCTATTGTAGCAAATGCTATTGGATTCCTTTGCTCTAGTATCTCAGCGGAGTCCGAGTCCATTAACTTGCCTTTAACAATTTGTTCGTTCTCCCTTTTCTCCATTAGTTTACCTACAAAGAAACCAAATATGTAAGCAAATCAATATGTTAGATCATAAGTGCAAAGGGGCAGGGAGGAGTAAAGCCATGGGAGGCAGAACAGATTAATCAAGGGAAAACGCATACAAAACATGCACTGGACTAGATGGAGAACAGAGATTGATAAAAGCTTGAAGAGCCAAATTAGATTCAACCAAGTCATCAACCCCTTCTGAATCAACTAGATAGCTTCCAGACTACGTTAATACGAAGTATAGATAATTTGAAAAGTTCCAACATTTCTCAATAGTTCTGAACTACCTAAAGCCCGCAAAATGACTGATTTGCAATAAGAGCAAAGGTGCAATGGAATTCTTTTTTGGGGGGGCATTCCTCATCTTCAATAAAACTTGAGCGAATAAATGAAACAAAAAATTCACGTTATAATTTTATGGTTATTAGCTGAACAAGATGATTACCACAAGACACAAGAGAAGCTTTCAGATGTTTCGAATCCACACCTCTGGAAAAGGGATCCCTATCAAAAAGCAACAAAAATTGGTAAATGCCACAAGCCTTTGATAAAGCTAATGAACTCAAGAACGGTACCATTTTAAAAAAAATCAAAAATAATTCACATCTTCCTTGAACACTACTCACATACCAACAAGAAGGACCCTTCATGAGCCTCTTAGCTTCAGTAGTTGCATCTACCTCTCTTCTACATGAAGGTTCTTCAGTTTTCATAACATTTCTTTCACTAGCATAACGTTCTTGGCATGCTGACTTCCGCATTTGCTGTAATACAGTGGTTTGTTCACAAATAGAATGGCTGTTGTCATTGATAGTACTTGAAATCGGTGTACTAATATTCAGTAACGCCACAGAAGAGAGGCGCTTCACACTTTGCTGTTCTCGATCAGTGTTGAACAATTTGACCTAGTGTATTCATATCATATCATATTTGAAATTTGGAACACTAATATTCCCCCACCATATATATATGGCCAATTGACCATATTGGTATATAAGTTAACACCCTTATGACATATTGGTATATAAATTATTGCCGGCGACATATTGGTATAAAAATTAACATGTGGCGACATATTGGTACATAAATTAACAAATTGTGGCATTTACCCCTATTTTTTCTTCGGATGAAAGAGCGTGTTGTATACTTCAAAAATTTGTTTTAATTACTTTTGCAATCTTATTTATTATCATAATATACTTATTCAGCACCAAATAATAATTTTTCCCTCTTCCCTTTCAATACAATAACTTTGATAAATCAATCAAACGATAAAACCCCAAAGAACTAATAAACAATAGACAAAATCTCAATATTAGTTATTTAATTTCAAAACCAATTACCAGTAGACGCTAACTTTCATTATTACTTCATTTGTATTATACCCACAACTTTGTAAATCAACAATATAATAAGAATATATATATATATATATATATATATATATATATATATATATATATATATGAGTGTTTTTTTTATAAAAAAAAAAAAAAAAAAAAAAAAAAAAAAAAAAAAAAAATTCTACCCTTGTGATGCTTCAATGACCAACGGCTCCAACGCCCTCAATACATTCAAGCTTATATCCCTTTACTCAAGCTTTCCTATTCGTTTTCCCCTAGTTTCTTTCTCATCACTTTTGGGCTTTCAACTTTTTTTTTTTTTTGGATTTTTACTTCATAATTTTTTTAAATTAATATAAAACGTAGAGAAAAGTACAAAAAACAAAATGTCAAATAAAAGATATTAGCACTAAAATTAAGCGTGTGTATCATACGCATATCCTCCGACTAGAAAATAGAGGTAAATGTCGCGATTTGTTGACTTATATACCAACATGTCGCCACATGTTAATTTTTATACCAATATGTCGCCGTCAATAACTTTTATACCAATCTGTCATAAGGGTGTTAACTTTTATACCAATATGGTCAATTGGCCATATATATATTCAAGTCTGACTCTATATATATATAATGCACTTGAGAAGATAACAAGCCTTAGGTATGGAGTTTGTGTGAAATTTTGAATGTTAGTTATGCCAAGGAATTTTCTAAATAATGAATTACTTTACATACAAGGGTGGCCTAAAATCAATGAGAGCGCTTTTTGATGTCATCTCCAGCTGAACATCAAGTTCAACTCAAAAGTCAGAACAGAGAGCAAATATCGTGGATAGAGTGGATTTAAGGGCCATTTAGCATCAATTAAGAAAGGTCACCTAGGCTTATATGGGATAAGCTGTCAGATATCAGAGAATTGAGGTTTTGCATTAAAAAGAGGCTGGTGAAATGTCTGAATGTTGCAGCCAGCAGATCATTCCCCACGCGAAACTGTTACATGCTGGCAATAACAACCCAATACCTTATCATATGGTTAGTGATGTTGCCTGAGATTCAGCTGTGGAGTCTCTGACAAGTGCTCCAATGGTATTAAATCTTTTACTCTTTGAGCAAAGCACATAGCATCTAGAAATACTTATCTTACCAGTTAGGCAATACCAGTTGACAAGAGTGGTCTTAAGGGTTTCTGAGTGTCAGTCTGACACTCTCACACCAGTCAGATGCTAATGGTTTTATACAAGAGTGAGACAGTGAAAGAGACCAATATCACAGTAAGGGTACAAGGTAGTTGTCTAAAAGAAAAATTCTTTGATGAAGCTCGAGTTTCCCATTTCAGGAACATGGAAACTCAAACTCAGAAGTCAGAAAATGAAGGAATCAGGGGAAACCTCAACAAAAAAAAATAAATAATAATACATAAATAAATAATAAAATATAATAAAATTAAATTCAAGTTTACTCTCTGAAGTCCCAAATTAAACCATTCACTTCTTTTATGAGTCCAGCTTAGAGCTGTCAATTTGGGTATTCAAGTCGGGTTTGGGTCGGGTCAAATCAGGTTTCGAGTTGAATTAGGGTCAGGTTATGTCGGGTCAATCTAGCCTCACATCAGGTTCAGGTTCAGGTCGTGTCAATTTCGGTTTAGATTATTCCAGGTTGTTTACCTTTTCGAGTATAGGTCGGGTTCGATTCGAGTCAAATTCAGATCGGGTTCAATTTCAGGTTCGGGTTGTGATGAGTCGGGCTTGGGCGGGTTAATAGATGGTAAATTCAGGTTCGGGTTAGGTTTGGGTTAGATAATTATTTGGTCGGATAATCTTAAAGTTTGATCATTCTTGGTTTTGGTTCAAGTTCAATTCGAATAAATATCGATGTGGTGAAGCTGAGCCTATATAATTACGCCCTTTTACAATTCGATGAAACACTATTAAGATTTTATTAAGCCTATATGCGAAGTAATAGAGAACAAAAGGTATATAATAAGCTGAACAAATTGTACCAATATTTTGTCAAGGATTGAGGGTTTACAGAACTGTACCAGCTCAACGAAAGGTGTCAATAACACGTTGTGTTGGGTTAAAATCTTTTTCTGGTTCTAATCGGGTCTGGTACTAGTTCGGGTTTATTAAATCGGTTGACGGTTACTATCACATCGGGGTGCAGGTTCGGGTTTAGGTCATAAAATATTGGATCAAATTGGTAGTCGGTCAACATCAGGTCGATTCAGGTTGGGTTACAGGTCACTAGTTTCACCCTATTATTCGGGTACACATCAAGTTCAGATCATTGCCGGTTTAGGTCGGGTTCTCTGGTCGGGTTAGTTTTTGACAGCTCTAGTTCAACTACCTTTAATACTTTCAATTTGTCATTATTTTTGGTCGCATTTCAAAGCAAAGATATCGGTTACTTGTTTCCGTATGTGTTCCACTTCACACATGTCTAACTTTAAGTTTAGTATAATCATTTTTCTCATTCTGTTTTCATTGCAGTGCAGCGTAGGTGTATGAACACGACCGTCATGAGTGTATCTGGCTATCTCTAATTTCAGAGAGAGAGAGAGAGAGAGAGAGATTTTGAATATTGAAAACATTGACTTACCGCATTTTCAATCTTGCTGGTCATATCAGCAGCTTTCGCAGCAGCAATTCGCAAACATTGCATAACAACACTTGGGGCGACGCCAATTTCTCCAGCCTTTTGAATGGCACAAACATCTTCACTTGCATTAATTGTAGCTGTCAATTTTCCTTTCATAACAGCCTCTTCGTAATAAGTAGGATCTACCACCTGAGTCATCACATCACATGCTGAATCCACCCAAATGACAAGGCCAAACAGCACTAGGGTATTGTTTTGTATCTTCACCTCTTACCAAAATGTTTTCAGTCATAAATCCAAATGTCACAGCTATAGGAAGATGGTGAACTATCAATGGAAGTGGTTCCTGCACCTGCAAAGGAAACATCACATGCAAACAGTTAATCAAACGGATAGATCATCCCAACACATGTCTACAGAACATACAGTGGTCACATATCATAAGAACAAGAGCAGAGACTGTTTCTCCGATGCACCTAAGGAGTAATTGAAAAGTTTAAGGCAGATAATACATCATACTACACACACAAATCACAAATCACAAATGACATAACTACCAGAACAAGATCACTATCAAGAAAGGCAGGAACCGAGCTCTTTATCAAGATAGTTTAACAACCTCGAAACAGAGGAACAGTGATAAAAGGAATATCAACAGTGGGCAGCACAAATATGTGAAGGAGAAAAAAGTGTGGAAATGCTGAGCAAAAGAACTGATTAAAAAACAAACCTTATGATCAATGGCATTAATGGATTAAGACCATTAAGTAGGCCAATTCAAAAAAATGATCTCATTATGTTGCTCTAGAAAAAAAGGTATTGGCAATTGGCATGGTGACCTCACACTAATGCAAATTCCACAAGGAGGTTTTTTTTTTTCTATTTCTTTTTCTTTTTTTTTTTTTGACTGGTTTTTCAAGTGACCCATTGGTATGCATATATTCATAACATGTCCCAATAGCTCATTTGAAAATGGCTAACTCACCATTAAATAACTGATTTTTAATTTTTAACATTATATTACAAACCTAACCATAGTTAACACCCCTCTTGACCAACTTAGACCATCACCCAAACCACCCATAAATCCCTCACCAACCCAACCTGACCACCCACAACCCCAACCCGACGCACCAAAAACCACCTTCCACCCACCAAAAGTGACCAGCTAACCACCAAATAAAACCACCCACCAACTGAAATATTTTGCCCGACCTCGAAACCTCCACCCAACCCTTAAAGCCACCACCCATCTTTCGAAAACCCTATCTACCTACCGAAAACCACCACCCAACTCTCCAAAAAGGCAAAAACCACCATAAATCCCTAAAACTTCTAGAAACCGCCAAAACAACCATCTAACCGACTGAAAACCACATTCACCTTCACTCCCATCTTACTTTCTCTTTCCTCACCTCTAAACACAAAATATAATGAAGATAGGAAGGAGAAGATGTGGTGGCTAAGGTAGGTGTGTAGGCCTGTAGGGATGGTGGGATTGGTCATTGGTGGGGCCAAGCATGGGAGTGAACATGGACGGTAGTGGTTGGCAAGCTGTTGATATAATAAATGCAGGGGTAAGCAAATTAACCATTTAAGTCCAGGTTAGCCATTATAGCATTTAAATGTGTCATTGGAGCACGTAATAAGAAACTTCACGTTTAAAGGATGCTTCATCTTTCCTAATTAATTAACTACCTAGCATTTTATAATTTTTAAAACCATAAACACAAACAAAAAAGTTACATGAATATAGCCATAAATAACTTTATCATAGCAAGAGCTAAACTCATTAACATAATCATCTAGCCTATTGTTTACATTTTGACGGTTGCTATTAGATAGTAGGCACATGAAAGAAATATCAGCTAATGCATACTTTCACTTAGCTAAATACTCCATCAGCCACAATATGTGTTGGTTGTGTTGCTGATAGTCAGCAACTTCTGATAAACGAGAACTAACTTTAAAACTAGAACTGAAAACCACTCACTGTCTAAGAGCTCACATTGGCAATTTGGTTGTATGACTCTCAGCAAATTATTAACAGAGAAAAGTCAGTCATAGCCTACCATCTGATCCTTACCCCAGCACCATGCACATCCATGTAGTAGGATATCAATCTTCTTGTTCAATTACTCCACCATAAAGATGATATAATTGAGTTTTTGTATATAATTTGGAGAATAATCGAAAAATAAGAACTTAGAGTTGGCTTTTCAATGCACAAAGCAGAAGTGCCAAGCAAAATTCAAGAACTTCAATAATCCAACGAGTGATGATGAAGCAATAGGACGACTTGTATCCAAAAAAATAATAATTATAATAAGTAAAAAAAATAATCTTCACAAAGGAAAAGTTTTCTCTAAATCTCAACAATAAACCTAAGCTAATGAAGTTCTTGACTACACATGTATAATGGTGTTACAGGAAGAAGCTTAGCCGTATGGACCACTTAACCATGGCCCTTAAATAACTTGTTACAATAATTATTAATGCAGTGGACAGAAAACACGGCTATGAAGTTCCTCACCCCAGCTGTGAGTAATGAGCAGTGAAGGAAATACCAAATTTTTTTGCAGTAGAAACAGCCCTCGTCACAGCCATGAAGATTCTTTGGTCGAAAATAAGGCTTCAATAGCTTGCGCAACTCAGATTAGCACGGACACAACCAACTTTCAACTTCATGCTATTTCAATCTCTTTAACAGCATTACAAACCACCTAAAAACATTCTATTAGATACTAACATGCTATAAAAACATGCCTATAATCCTATCATAAGAAGGATCAAAGCCAATCAATTCATAAGCCTTATGTTCTCTCAACACCTCTTGATTCATAAAGATCACACGCCCATTCACAAATATACAAAAAAGAGCATCAATAGACTAGCATTGCCTTTCACTCAACAATTCCTCAAACTAAACAAACCTCATTTGCAGAAAGCACAATTATCAATCATGTTGGTCTCCTTCACAAATGAGATAAATAGGTGGCCTAGGCAGTTTGACCTTGGACCAAAACTAGCACAAACAGTTAGCAAGCAAGAGTTGTGCAAGAAATCGAGAATATCCTGAAAATGAGTAAATTCCCCAATATCATCTCACTAAATGTTTGATCACAAACAACCTTGTGAACATTACAAGTTTACAACCAATCAATCAAGAATCTTCTTTTCATCTACAAGTGTCCCAATGAAGACAACTTGATCAACAAACCCTAACATGGCCATAGATTCTTCCCTCTTCAAAGGTCATGATCCAAGTTTTCCTAAGAGGGAGGCTATGACGATGACACAAAAGGAGGGTGAAATATTTTATTATTTATGTATAGGTCTACAGAATGGTAGGGATATTTAATTATGTTAGTAATCAATTGTTTCTCATTCTCCAAGTAGTGTTTAGGCCAAGGGTACCAACCCCCACCAACTGACCTGCAATATTTTGTATTATTTAAAGCAATCTAGAATGATTTGAATAAAGAATTTTGTTTACAGATGTTCTTCCACATTACCTCTCTATGAGTGCACCACACACATGCATGCGTATAGTGAAGTGCACATTTAACATAGAAATTTAATCATGCAAGTCATAAATAAAGATAATGTTAGTTTAAATACTATAAAATACATATATTGAAGGGTGAGAAGGGTAGCATGTATGCCAACAGTAACCAGACAAATTACACGTAGGGTAAAAGTCTGTAACATTCATGAATTTCACGTTCATTGATGGCACTGATAGACAAGGATTAAATCATATGTCTTATTAAAAGGGTATGAACTATGAACACACCTCTGGTGGATGCACAACTACTTCCTGACCATCTTCTCCTCCAAGAGTACATACAGGCCGTCGAAATGTCATCAGAGATGCCAAAGCAGCAACATTTGCAGCATCGAGAAGATTTCTGTTTCCAGCAGGATAATTTGTAAATTGTAAAGATGTCACATTAACTTACTGAGGTTCTTCAGATAAAAAAATATTATAGCTTACCCTCCATTATCAAGAATGTGAAGATCGAGACGGACAGACCATACTAACTTGCCAGCTAGAACACAAAGTGATTCAGTATCAACTGCCCTGCTCTCCCTGCAGCATCACTTTCACACTTTTAAAAATCATAATCTACAAACCCCTAAACATGGAAACACTCAAACAGAAAGAGAAGGAGAAATGGTAGATGGAATAAAAAAGATGTAATCTTTTTCAATATAATGATTACAAATAGCAACAGCGTCACCAAAGAATTAAAAAGCAGGCAAGATGAACCCCCCCACCCCAAAAAAAAAATAATAATAATAATTCTGAAGTGTCAAGTATAGCATCAGGCTGTCAGTGGACACTAAGGCCATCCAAAAGAGATCAGATTCTAAAAGAGAATCCAGTATTTTGATTAATGATTTTATAAAACAACACTTGCGATCAGTTACTGGACTCAGACAAATCTAATATTTTACAAAGCATTTTATGACTAGCAATACTATGTTACTGGACTCAGACAAATTGGGGTGATCAACGTTAGACACAAGATATAACCAACAACTCAAACCCAATCATTGAGGGACACAAGTGAACCTCTAAATGGTTTTCTTCTCATACATGACCCAAGAACATCATTTCCAAAGCACCTCAAACAAATGATTTTTTTAAGATGTAGAGTGGTTTCAAATCTCGAAAATTACAAAGCATTTTTAGACTAGCAATACAATGTGACTGGACTCAGACAAATTGGGGTGATCACCATTAGACACAAGATATTACCAACTAACTCATGCCCAATCCTTGAGAGACACAAGTGAACCTTGAAATGGTTTTCTTCTCATATATGACCCCAAAACATGATTTCCAGCACCTCAAACAAATGAGTTTTCTAAGATGTAGGATGGTTTCAAATCTCGAACGTAATAGCAATTGCAAATTCACTGAACAACTTTCATGGTTTATGTGGATGGTCTGCCACTGCCACGGCCTATCACGGTCACGTTAAGCTCAATAACCTTTACAGTGTGGCCATGATGCGGCCGAGCCATAATACCGCATCTGGAATACAAAAACCTACAAATGAAAGCTGAAGGCCAAATAGGCAATTTGAAGAATCAAATCCTCTATTCAAATCCTATAGCAATTTGGGATAGATAAGTAGATAACAGAGATAAGCACCCAATTAGAAATTTTAATTGACTGGGTTAACACTGTCATAATTGAACACATTTTTTTTTTACAGCATTCAGGGTGTAAAATTACTAGATCGACCATCATAAAATTTTCCCAGGAGGGCACACTGTTAAATAATTAATCCAGAAAAAATCTATTCTAAGAAAAATAGGTTTCAGTTTCATGACAGAAGCAAACACTTAACAACAGATTCAATAAGGTGACACACGGCAATAATGTAAGATTTAAATATCAGTAGGGAAAAACCTCAGACCACGGTCTATTATGCGTCCCAACTCTATCGCTGACTCTCCAGGGCGACCAGCCTCAAATGACGGGTCAGCCATAGGTGAAAACTCTGTGAATATATTAAGTGATCCTTCATTTGGCCTGTCTCTATAAGGTTGAACTAGCTGAGCAGTGACAAAGCTCATGACATGAGTCTGGCCAAGCTGTACCTCAGTTGATCCGTCTTTCCTGCAATTGTATCACAATGATTGAATAATTATATTTCACATACCATATCAGCAAGCAATAACATATATCCAATATTAAACCTGCGAAGGATGGAGGCAGAGAACACCTAGATGTACATCATTTTCTCTAACCATTCAAGAGTCTAGAAAGTTAAAAGACAGTTTATACATTAATTTCGCAGCAAACACCTCATGAATCAATCTTATGTTCAAAACCATCATGTGGAACAAGCAGCTCCAATTATGCCATTAATTTAAATGGATGTTTTAAGATGTCTATGAAGATTTCCAGAAAAAAGCTTTCTTGAAATAATGGTCAATTCTTGAATGCATCCTAGAAGGTTTTAAGTGACGCAAAGCAGAAAATCTCTTGTACTTGGGGTCATTTACAGACAATAAAAGCTATGAAGAACCCAAAACTGGCTACTTTTATTTACTATGCAAGTATGCATAAATCAGCTCCAATCCAAGATATCACTTATTTATATGGATGTTTTAGATCTTTATGAGGAAAACAGCTTTCTTGAAATAATGGTCGATTCTTGAATTCCCTGCACAGTAAGACTCTGTTATTTTCAAAATTATCTTTGTAATTAGAATCCTCATACAGCTTGAATTCTACTTACAATTCTGCCATGTCAGTCAGGTTTGTGGTCTAGTCACAGTAGGATTTTAATTAGTCAATATTATCTTTTAGATCTAACTGTATAGATTCAAATCTCAGTTTAGTAAGGATCCTAGATTATTCAATTTACAGGCATGCATATCATTCAATAAAACCGAAATTTAAATGGAATTATATTGAGCATAGCTTGTTGACAAAGAGAACTTCATAGATTTGTTGGTTTGCTTAATCTAAACAACATTTGATATGATTTGTATATTATTAATAATCTGATTAGGAAGATACCCTTTAATTTGTGAGATTGAGTAATAGAGTTCATCCCATACATTTTTCACCATTAACACACACATCCATGAACAAAATTTAATAAAATTTTCTGGAATTATTGTGAGTTATTTCACGTTAATTACACTGTGAATGACAATTACCACTAATCGTTAGTTAATTATCAATTCAGATATTTTATTAATTAAGTTTTCATTAATTCATCAAATCCTTATATTACAATTCAATAGTGTTTGTGTTGAGTACATCAGTTACTCACATCCTCATGGATCAACTCGTGTGTTCCTACTAGCTTCATATACAACATTTAGCTATGTCCTCAAACCCATGTTTGACACTTGAATATGCACAGGCTAACACTTAGACGAAATCTATGTTAACATACATGAACAAAGTAAAACCTTATACTTTAACCACAAATTCAATTAGTGCATTTACTTTACAAGTATATGAGTTTGACCAATCTCCGATAGTAACACAGACCTCCCCATGACTTATACCAATGTTGGACTAACATATTTTAGAACTAATTCAAAAAGGACACGAACATAGCTGTACAAAACACTTACCTACCGAACTTAATTGTTAATTTGCGGTAGTCAAATGGGCACCTTCCATCAGCTCTAAGATCTGAAAGCAATGCAGTCTCTATAAACTTCTTCTCATTTATAGACATGTGCCAAGTATTAGCTAGTCTCTGTTCCATTTTTCAAACTGCAAAAACCCCAGTTAGAAATTGTTTAAAATCCATAGATTGCAATGCTTCTTAACTAAGATGACAAACAAACATTCAAACATTATTTCAACAACCCATTTATCACCGAACCGTGAGCCAGGGCAGGAGCAGCAACTGCCCCGAACCCGGAAGAAAAGGTCCATTTTCATAGTTTCGTCCTAACATTAAAGAGTTATATAAACAAATTCCTGCGACAAATTAAATTTAATTTTACTCAATTATCAGAGTAAGGTCTATAAATTGCGATTAAAGTTAGCCAACCCCAAATCATTTTGGGACCAAGACTTTGTTGTTGTTGTTGGTGGTGTATCAGAGTAAGTTCGAAAAATCAAATTACATTCTTTGAACTTAAGTATATGAATAGAAGAATTTTAGCAACGAAATCGCTAGTTATAATTTATCATTACTTTTGTAATTATAATAACCAATACAATAATCTACCTAAGACTAACCCTAAATTGAATTATACCGACAATTAAATTAAAGATTAGATTTGATATTCGATGATTAAAGAGGCAAAAACAGTTCTAACCTTGGAAGCTGCTTTAATGGCGAGAAAAAGCTCATAAGCTGCTTTAACAATTTTGAGTACGCTTCAATGGAAGGGGTGGAGTGATGGTAAGGCCTTGCCTGGATTGAGAGAAGCTGTTAGAGGGTAATTATTAGGGTGGACTAATTTAAGAGTCGGTCTCAGCCCATAGGGTAAAATTTCTAAGCTGTTCACAGTCGCTTCTGTTCTCTGAAGCTTGTTGAACAATTGAGGTCCCAAGAATCGAGAGTAGACCAATTATTTATGCGCGTAGATTGTCGAGTAAAGAGATTCGCGATCAAAACCTGTTCGAGGAAAGATTAGTTCAGACAATTTCGTGCGCAATTGACCGACGAAAATGAGGCGTCGAGGTGAGCCTTTGATTGCTTAATCTATGTAATTTTAGTTAAAATTGCATGTGACTTGGTTATATACTAGCAATTATCAAGTTAATTTACAATTCTTACTTAATTTAGGCAATTTTGTGAAAGATGCATTTTCGAATTATTGAAATTTAGGTGGTTGCATGTTTTTAGTTTTTCTTGATTCTAAGTTTGTACTAAATTTCGGTTTTATACAACAAATTTAGTTGCTTTGGTACTTGAAATTTCGTTAAAAACTTAGCAGAATTAGGGTTTGTGATAATTTGTGAGACAGGTTTGTGATAATTTGTGAATTAGGAATAATATAGATTTTAATATGTCTTTATTAAAAATATAAATGACAAGAAGTGTAATAGTAAGTAATATAGATTTTTATAGATTTTATTATAGGTTTATGACATATTAGAAATATAAATGACAAGAATTTTAATAGTAAGTAATATAAGTTTTAGTATGACAAGGTTTGAAGAGGTTTAAATTGGGATATAACACTTGGTCAATATGACATTTATTGAGTGAACATTATATTATCATCCCCTTCTTGCCGCATGGGTTGGGTTTGGTTCTTATGTGGTCCTTTTTAAGTAGGGAGGTTTAAGTAGAGAGGGCAGAGACTAATGTAAAACTAATAAATGAGGATATTGTTGTCTTGGTACATATCATCCCTTTTGAGCACCTAATGATTGAGATCAAAATAATGCACTTAATGATTGAGCTAGCAACTTAATGATTATCATTGTGTGTGTGGGCACCTCGCACTTCTGCCATAATCATTATGAATGTGTATGTGCACCTAATGATTAAGCTATTTGTTGCTATATGTGTGCAATTTAGTGATTATCATTGTGTATGTGTGCACCTGGTACTTCTGCCATAGTGATTATCAATGTGCATGTGCACTTAATGATTAAGCTCACCTTTGAGTTTCCCTTTTTGTGACTGAGTGTGCATGTAATACCCCGTATTTTTATACGTATTTTATTTAAAATATGTATTTTATTTAAAATATGTATTTTAAAAGGGTATTTAAATAATTTTAATATTCTAATTATGGTGCTTTAATTATTTATCCTATGTAAGTTTGGAAATATTTTTACTAAAGGAAAGTTTGTTTAATTATTTATGTTATAAAAGTTGGGGTTTTATTTTAGGAAATTATGATTTTAACAAGTTTTAGTAGGGAAGGGATTAGGAAAAACTAAAGGAGCAAAGTTTAGGGTAAAAGGGTGATAAAGAAGGGGTATAAATATCCCTCTTATGAGGCAATTCAACTTTGCCCAGAGTGGAGAAAACCCAAGGTAAACTTCTCTCCCTTTTCTCCTTATTTTTCTTCTTTCTTCTTTCTTTTTCTTTCTCCTTCCCCTTCTCCTTTTGTTTTTGCACCACCACCACCGGCAACCACCACCACCGGTGGGCCGCCGACCACCAGCCACCCAGCCGGCAGCAGCGGCGACCACCAGTGCTGGCAGCAGCCGGCAGTGGCGCCGGCCTGCTGTCAGCAGTCGTGGGTTTCGAAAAAAAAAATTAAAAATCAAATCTTTCTTGCTCAAATTTAATCTATGCTTTAATTTAATTGTAAACTATGAGTTTTGAGATTTAATTTTGATGTTTGATTATTATAATTATGTTAATTAATTTTCAGATTTGGTTTTTAATTAAAAAGCCCCAATTTTTGAAACCCTAGGTTCTTGATTTATGAGTTATTGAAGGATTATGATGTATATTGGGGTAGACCTTTGTTTTAAGTGTTTTAAGGCTTAATTACAGCAAGTTTTAATTAAAAGGAAAATTTGTCAAAAATAAGTCAACCTTTGTCCGGTTCGCTTAAAATAAGTTAACCTTTCAATTAACTCAGAATAATCCAACCTTTATAGGGTATTAACTTTAAATGAGTCAAAACCTGTTGTAACCGGTTATTAAGGTTAATTGTGACACGTGTTAGAATATGATTCCTCATTTTTCTATTAATAATTAATTAGGATATATTATATGATTAATTATAAAAAAAAACTAATAATTATAAATTTCAAAAAAAAATAAAAAAAAAAAGAAAAAACCCCAACCCCCTCACCCTCCCCTGCCAGCTCACCCCCCTCCCCTACCAGGCCGCCGATAGCCGGCAACCACAAATTCCCCGGCGCCGGCACCGACGGCCTCTCCACCCACCCACGACGCCCCCACCCTTCCCCTTCCCTTTCCTTTCCCCTTTCCCCATCCCCCTTTCCCCACCCCGTTACCCCCGTCCTTCCCCTTCCCCACCGTCAATCGACACCCCAAAACCCTTGAACCCCGATTCCGATTTTGTTAGGGTTTCGTTAGGGTGGGTTAAAGGGTTTGGGGGGTCGACAGATAGTAAGGAAGGGGAGGGAGGGGTCGACTTCTACAGGGAGACAGGGGAGGGGGGTTGTTTCCGGCAGGGGGTGAAGGGGAGGGGGTGGTGTCGTGTCGGGGTGGGGAAAGGTGAATGGGGAAGGGGAAGGAGTGGGGTTGGGTGGGAGCATCGTGGGTGGGCGGTAGAGGCCGTCGGTGTCGGCGCCAGGGAATTTTGTGGTCGCCGGGCACCGACAGCCTGGCAGGGGAGGGGGGTGAGCTGGGGTTGGGGTTTTTTTCTTTTCTTTTTTTTTAAATTTATAATTATTAGATTTTTTAATAATTAATTATATAATAATTCCTAATTAATTATTATAAGAAAAATGACGAACCACGTGATGACTCGTGTCACAATTAACATTAATAACCGGTTAATAAATGGTTGTAGGTCACTTGACTCATTTAAAGTGGATACCTTATAAAGGTTGGATTATTCTGAGTTAATCGAAAGGTTGGCTTATTTTGAGCGAACCGGACAAAGGTTGGCTTATTCTTGACAAATTTTCCTAATTAAAATAAAGTGTTGGAATTTTATGTAGAACACTTAATATTATGTTTCTTGAAGAAATTTTAATTACCCATTAATTGGGACTTAATTATGGTGTTTTAAATATAATTTCAGCTTACTTTAATTAAATTATGAGGGGTTTTAAAATAGTATATATTGCTGGAAATTTGTTTAGAGTGGATTTTAATACTCTATTATGATTTTAATGTGTAGGAGACTTTAAAGTAAGCAATTTCTTCTAGTCGTGGCAATTTTAAAATCGTACTCAAGGTACGTTCGCGTACTTAGCATATTTTTGGTGATGTAGTATCATGATAGGCTTGATTTAATTAATCCTAAATAGTATCATGTTAAGTTTTATGATTGGAAATTGTGGATTATTGATATTGGTAATTAAATTAGAAAGCATGATTTATTTGAGATGGATTAATAGTTGGAAAATTAATGTTTGGCATGTTGTGTTTGAACCACACTTTTATTTATGGAATGTTAGAATGCATGATTAATTAAATTACATGCTTAGTTATGTTTGGAATATTAAAAAGGAATTTTATTATGGTTCAAATAATTTTTATTGATGCTTTAAGCACGAGGAAGGAGCTATAAAAGTGTCTATGTACACAAGGAATAAATTGTATGTTGGTGCCTTTGTGCACTTAAGGTGTTTTTAAAACCGAGGGATAGGATTTTGGCGCTTTATGTGTTTAAGGTGTCTTTGACACTGAGGTAGAATTAAAAAGGGTTCAACATTAAATAATATGTGGTCACTAATTATTCAAGAATTAAATTGGTATGTTTGGTTGATTGAATAATTATTGTTGATTGATTTATTATGCTTTGAGAGTCATCACCAAGTCCAGTAACATGTAAACAACGTAAAGTGAAAGAGATTACGCACCAAAACTCTTGGAACGTATATACCTTGAGTATGAACAATGGGGGGAGTTATGGGGTTTTATATTAAACCATAACTTCTAATGGAGTACAGAACGTTGTACGTTCCTTTTTATTTATTATTATGCGCAGGAATTCCGCCACCTTTGAGTGGTTTTGTCGCTGGCACGGTTAGCTCCCGTGTCAGTTAACCTCAATTTATTTGGGGGAGGTATAGTTGGAAACCCGTTCGATGCGTAATCAACGCTAAATGAATTATTTAGTGTCTAGTTAAAGTGTCTTGTTGATTGTTGTGTGTGCTTGTAAACAGGTGCATTGTGGTAAGTGTGTGTTAATAGGTGAAAGCATGATAGTGTGTTTAATTATGCTTACGTACTCAGCTTTGCTGATTGTGTGTGTTTATGTGTTTGGCCATGTCTTTATCTTGGCCCTATGATGACCCATTTTTAATGGAGAGTAGTGGGGACAAGTAGAGATAAACTTTTCAGGTATTAAAGAATATTCATGACAGGGCATGAGTGAAGAGTGAATCATGCTAGTTTCCAATAGTTTACGATGTGTTTTATGCTTTGTTTATTTATGATACTTTTCATGTGGATTAACGCGAAAGCTTGGTTTTGGAACGGTTTTGAATAAGGGCCTTTAATGGTTCCAAGTTGTAATTTGATTTTATTTGACTTTGTTTGTTTGGTTTTAAACTTTACTTTCGTTTGGTTGACTTTTGAGTTGACTTGTTTAAACGGTTTTTAATTTAAAGTCTTCCGCTGTGTATCTTTGATAGTTGCCTTAGTCGTTTTCATGGTGGCGGTAATATCTTAGATATTCCTAAATCGTATTTAAAAAAGTAAAGTGGGTATTAAAAGAAAGGAATTTCTAGGGTGTTACAGTGCACCTAATGATTGAGATCAAATTTTGTGATGCGCTGATATTTGTTCTTAAAGTTGGATAATTTGATGCTTAGTTTTGTTTTGATAACCTATAATTGGACATAATTCAGGGAGTGGTAAAGTTGCTTTTACTTGTGGTATAGTACAATAACTGTTGTTTTACCAATGAGTGTATATATTTGTTTATCAATTTAGGTGAAGGTGAAGAGAAAGGCGAAGTTGGTGAAGTCGAAGAACATGATAAAAGACATTAAGCCAATTGTTTATACGGTATTGTTATGAGTTGTTTATATGTTGTTTTATTTGTTGTTCAGTTTAATTGATATGAGTTGTATTATGAGGATCATTTCTTTTTATTTTTATGGCAAAAGGATAATTCAAAAAGTGTAGGCAGTAGGCTAAAGGAGGCTGGGAAAGTTATCGAAACGTTCCAACAATATGACAAGACGGTATGTTTGTTAAGACTTTGTTGGTTTTATGAGATACATTGAGAGTTTTATTTATTCTAAAACTTTGCCTTTATTTTGCAGTCAATGTATGTAAATTTCCCTTTTAAGACATTTGGTAGGGTATTAGGCAAATTTGATGAAACAAAGACTCAATTAGTTAGAGAAATGGGTTTTGGCACATTATGTTATGCTGTTGGGAAGAGGTTACCTCGACTTTTGGCGACTAGCTTTGTACTTGGGTAGATGTTGATAAGAATTTCCTTTGATTTGCAGATGGGACAGTTTTCCCTTTTTCTTTTGTTCAGGTTTACTAGATTATGGGTCTACCTCACGGACGGAATCCGGTAACAACGAAGGTAGTTGATGAGGAGTTAGAATACAGGTTGTGGATAAAGTACCACACCATTTACAATTCTAGGACATAAGGGATAACAAGGATGACTTTGATTGAGGCTTTGGAGGCTCCATAAACTGATGAGGACGAGTTTCAGCAGGTTTTTGTGTTGCTGATGATGAATACACTATGTTCAACAACTTGTCTTCGCCTGAAGCGAAAACATTTGCATGCAGCTGCAGTTGCGAATGATTCTACACAGTATAATTGGTGCTCTCTCATTTTGGATGAGTTATTACATGCATGGGAAGCTTTGCTTAAAGGTTTTACAATAATGGGTTTGCAGGTGGAAGTGGTGGGTGTACTTTGTTTTTTGTCAGTAAGTTGACTCCTGAAAAGATCTGAATATAAACCAATGTTCAGTTCACTTAGAATTCATATACCTGATGTTATGTTTGTTTATGTAAAATGTAGTTGTTGTATCTTTATAGACTGAACAGGAATCCACTTGAGTAGGATGAGTTTCCGAGGTTAAAAGTATAGACAACAAAGGAGATAATCAAAGCTTGTAAAGAAGATCGATTCGGAACGGGTGACTTTGGAAGAATGGGGGTAATTGTTTATTTTATTTGCTTAATTTGTTAAAGAAGATTGGTTTAGAATTGGTGACTTTTAACCTGTAATTTTGTGTCTTTTGTGGATAGTAGTGTCTAGACGTGTCGCATTGGGGAGATAAAGGTCACCCGTTGAAGGCAAAGGATTGTTTTCTAGCTAAAAGGAAAATAGAAGAGGATGATAAAGGAATAGCTTATATTGATGATGAGGATTTGGCATGGCTTACTACAGATGTGAAAAATAGACACTACAAGAAAATAATCTTTTTGTAGCGATTATTTTAACCTTTAGTATCGATTGTAATTGCAACAAAAAGCTTTCCCAACGAATGGTAATTCGATACAATATCCCCCGTTGCCTTAGCCTTTAGTAGTGGTTTTCAATATCACTGGGGTTGGCCTCAATAATCGATACGAAAAACTACATCCAATCGTGGTGATTATTGTAGCGATTACAATCGCTATAAATGTTTAACTCATTTTCTTCAAAAAAAAAAAACTTGTGTATGATCTTTACAAGATTCGAACATGCAACTTCAAACTCTTATATTAAAATTTTCACCAATAAGCTATGACATATTTTATGTATTCTTTGTCAAACAATATTTATATATCTAGTGTTGGAAAGGCTTTTCGTATCGATTTTTAGGATTTAGTGGCGATTGTAAATGATACGATTTCTCAAAATGATATAAATGTGTAAAAATAGTTTGGATATGTATTATTATGTTTTCCGTATCGATTTTATATGGGAAAACCATGGCAATTGTAAAAATGATACGACGTCCTTAATTATCTCACAAACATACCTGCATATTGTAGTGAATGTACAATCGCTACGAAAAGAGATTTTTCTTGTAGTGAGAAGAACTTTGGTTAAAGATGAGTATGCATTTCAAAGGAAGAAGAAGTTATGAGGTAACTACATAATTTTGTCGTGTTAATGGTGTTATTAAGATGGTTCATAGTTTTATAACTATTTCATTTTTTTGGTTGTAAAGAATTACTGAATGAGGTTCAAATCCCTGAAGCAACAAACAAAAGGAAGAAACGAAATATCAATAAGAAGGAAAAAGGTGAATAAATTGTCATTTGATTCATTTAAATTGTCATTTGCATTAATAAAATTTATCATTTACAAAATAATAGAGAGAAATAACATTTATTATTAAATTGTTCAGAAGAAAATGAGGTGATTGATAAGAAAAAAAATGAAGAAGAAGGACAACAACAAGAATAAGTCAGAAGGTGAATACAAAACTATGAAATTGATAAATTTAAATTTTCATCTGAAAAATTTAAATTGTCATTTAATAACTTTTACTATCTGGTTGTTCCAGCAGAAGCAAATGGGGTCAGTGAGGAGGTGGAGGAGGAGGAGGAGGAGGATGCGAGCAAGAACAAGAAGACAGAAGATAATGTCCTATTCTCGTCATTTTAAATATTTTCCAATTGGCTTTGTGTACTTGTATTCAATTTTGCAATTGGGTATGAACTTTTAATTGTAGAATAAGAAGAAACTGATAAGGAAACAAATGGCCATGGGCCTATTGGTGATGTGTCTGAGGTGAAGGGTGTTTGTGCTGAGCCTCAGGCAGAGGCTGTGACTGATTAGCCTAAGGTGGAGGCGGAGGTTGTTAGTGATAAGGCTAAGGCTGAGGCTGTTACTGATGAGCCTAAGGCGGAGGCTGTTACTGATGAGCCTAAGGCTAAAACGGAGGCTGATAATGATGAACCTAAGGCGGAGGCAGAGGTTGTTAGTGATGAGAGCCTAAGGATAATGTGAGTCATGAGCATGACCAAGAACCAATTACTACAGAGCCGACCACTGAAACAAACGTTGAGTCCGCAAGTCTTGATCAGTCAGACCTAGATCAATTAGACATAAATGCGATCGTTAAAAATCAAGGTGTTGACTCTTTAATTTGTGATTCAATTTGCGTAAAGAATGACCCTCTACGCGTTAGAGTGAAGTACATTCTTCGAACTGATGCTGGAGTCTTGGGTTCATCGGCTCTTGAATTGCTCCTAAAACTAGTGCTTCTAAGAATTCAACTCCTCCTAAATGTGCTCCAGATGGTGGTGCTTTTGAGAATTTAACTCCTCCTAAATGTGCTCTTGATGGTGGCCTGGTGCTTTAGAAATAGTGCCTGTTAAATCAAAAGGTAGCCTTGTTGGTGCTTCAAAAGGGGAAGAAGGTAGTCTTGCCGGTGCTCCAAATAAGGTTGTAACCGATGATGGGGGAAACCAAGAAGAATTGGGGGTAGGTAGCGCTATCCTGAAAAGCCCTAAGAATTGGGAAGTTGATGCCACCTATGATTCTGAAGAAGAACCTAGTACTCTAGTGCTATAAAGGACAAATTCGCAGAAGAAGATGCTCCAATTAAGTAGGAAACAGTGGAAGATAACAAAGCCTCTTACCCTACCTGTTTCGTGTATCAATCATTGGCGGCTTAAGGGTATTTTTCATTTTAGGGTGCCTCTGCATAATTATTTGGATGAACACATGTCATACAACATTCGAGAGATTAAAAATGACGAGTTTGGAGTCTTGAAAATCTTTAACTTTGCCTTTCATTTTCATTGTATGTAATATACTAATTTATGTGATACAATGGCAGGAATGAACCGACGTTCTTTAGTTGTGATGGTGACTTTGTAAAACTTACCTTATGTGGCCATTTGATTAAGAATCTTGAGGAGGCTAGTGATTAGGTATGATACTCACAGGGTTGTATTATTTTTAAGGTAATGACTTGTTAGGAAATGTAAATTGACTGCAATTGTGATTTTCTTTTTGTAGTATGTCAGGGGTTGTGGGATACGTGTATCAAAAGGTGTGGGAGAGGAAATTCCCGGGTCGCAGCAGGCGATAATGACGAACCTGCATTTGCATTTATAACCTTGATTACCTACTTTGGATTTGGTTAATGTGACATAAATCAACAGCTGACATAGTTAGCTGTTTATCTGTAGATGTTGGTTTTGCAGGCTCTTAATACGAAAAGGGACAAATAAAAGGTGAACCTAGAGGTCAGTAAGGTTTTCAATAGTTACACGCACTATATGTACGAAACTGGCTCAAGCAGATTCAATGTGGTATGAATTTACAACTCTTTAATTGGAATTATATGTACCTTGTCAAAGGTCGGTTGTGTGTGTGACAATTCCTTTATTTGATAGGTTTTTGTGCTAGTCTTCCGCAAACACCACTAGTGGTGCGCTGCATTCTTAATTAACAGACAGGAGGTCCTCATCATTGATTCCATTTTAACCACCAGTGCGGCTTCACGTAGGAAATGTAAAGTAGATCACCTGGTGGGATTGAATAAAACGCAGGTGGTTTGATGTCTACACATATTATTCTTCAATTAAGTTAACCATTCAGTGGTTCATTTCAGGCTGCAGCAATGGATCTTGCATTTCAGAATATGGACAAAGAGTGGCAAACACGAACCATTTCTAATTGGCCACAGTCATCCCTTAACATGAACACCCAAGGAAACTTGTACGTTACATTGCATTATCGTGTTTTCAATAATTACTTAATCTATACAACTTCTATTTAGTTAATCATTATACATGTTACCCCTCGCCCCGATGTAGTTATGGAATTCATATGTTAATTGCAACTAAGCGCAAACGCTGACAAGGTTTTGACAGAGACGGCCGAAGTGAGTTCTAGTTTCTTTGGCTTTTGAATTTCTAATAATATTATTAAACTTATTCAACCAAGCTCAACCATGTTCGTGCAGATTTATGATATGGAGTTCGAGAGGTCATGGGTGGTATGTGAAGACCTCTTGTTAGAGTTTAACGAGTCAAGGGAAGATGTTTTACAGCTACTCAACAATGTATAAAGGTCGTGTGACTTTAATTGATGTTTTTTTTGGACTAAACTCTATCAACTATAAGGTATTGAACAATTTTTTTACCCTATTATATTATTGGCCAAAAGTGTAAATTTTTTGCCTACCTGTTGTGTCAATTTATGAGGTACTTGAAACTACAAAGTTGTAAATTAAACTAAGCTTATCATAAGGTACATAGTTAAAAGTAAATTGAATTACAAATGCCATGCCATAATTTGATATCTGCCATAATTTGACAAGTTTTAGTAACATTACTGATAATATTAACACAATCATCTACAATGGAAATGTTGGAATATTATAATAATGATCAATTATTAAACATGGGCCGTATAGTTTAGTAATAGCCTTATAATCTGGGCCTTATAAAGCTGGGCCTTATTATACAAAAGGACTAATAAAGCTAGGCCTTATAAAGTTGGGCCTTATAGAGCTGACCCTTATCAAATGGGATTTACTGTGTTGGGACTGCAATGGGGATCTTAGCATCGATGAAGAAACTTGGAAAAGAAAGAAGGAAAGAATAAAGATGGTCTTGGAAGATGTATGATAATAATTGTTCAAGGTATGGATCCAAGGGTTCTGTTGTTGTAAGCTGGGTCTGGTCAACAGCCTACGCAGGGAAACACACGTGAACTACCCTCGGGGTGGCTCGAGGAACCCCCCTTCCGATGCATAAGTTAGAGTGTGTTTAGAGAGAGAAAGTGTACTGAAAGAGATGTAGAGAATGTAATAACTTGTGTGTCTAACCTCTTTTCCATTGTACTTTGTCCTCTATTTATATGTACAATCTCCTTTGTGGAGAGTCTTACCAGGTCAATCCTGCGGGCTGACTCTATCGGGCTGGTGAGCCCCTCTTAGTCGTTCTTCTAGTGATGAGTGCGCACCCTGGGAGTTGGAAGATAGTTCAGCGGGAGCTACCCTATACAACTAGCCCCTCAAGAGGTGGTATGAGGTCACTCATGCTGGCTCTTGTCAGCACGGTGCAGTCTTTCCTTCTGAGCCCAGCTGGAACATCTCATCAGGAAGGAACAGCTCAGCAGGAGCTATCCCCTACAACTAGCCCCTCAAGAGATGGTGTGAGGTCATCCATGCCAGCTATTCTGAGCGTGTAGCCTCACCTGCCGTTGATCAACGAGTCGTTTGGCTAAATTACCCCATACGCTCCTAGCCCCTCAAGTCTCTGAACCGGTGATGCGATTTTATGGCTTGGGAGGTCAGGTTGGGTAGACACCCATTTGTGTCTCCCCAAAACCAAACCCGGTGATGAGTGCCTTTTGCGTCGAATCATAATCCAATAAAGTGAAAGTATGGAAAGTTTAGTGTTGCGGATAGTTTTAATTTCTTTTCTCTTCTCTCTGTTTTGAAAACCTATTTTAAGAAAACAGCCAATCCAGTTTGGTTGGTCCATGATATGGGTCTAATAGTAGTGTAGTTGTATGGGGCTTGACAAGAGGTTTCCAACGATATATTATAAGCCCAATTCCGATGAATATTGAGGAAGTTATGTAATTGGTATACACTAGACCCTAGTGTAGGTAGCCCAACCTACACTCCCTCTAAACGCAGCGTTTAGAGTTACTACCCACACCCACACCCCCTCCACTAACCCACAATAATTACCCACTCCCACAATAACCACAGTAACTGCATAACTAACTTCCCCTACCCCACATATATATACATAAAAAAAATAAAAAAAAAAAAATCAATTTCAAATCATTCTCTCTCTCTAAACACCATCTTCTTCATTTCTCTAGAGTTTCTCTCTCATCAAACCCAACGAATCGGAACAAATTTCAATTTAAATCACTGAAAAATTGCTTCAAAATACTCCAAAATTGCTTCAAATGTCTGATATTCGAGAAGAAATTAAACAATCACAACAAAAAGAGTAAGTAATTTCGTTAGTTTTGTTCATTTTTTGAGATTGTAGTGCAATTTTATGTGTGAAACCTTAATTTTGTTCATTTTGTTGCGATTGTAGTGCGATTTTGCAAAAAACCACTACAGAGAAGAATATGCAAGAAGAAACTGCAAAATCGGAGCAAAATGTATCTAAAGAGTAAGTAATTTTGTTCATTTTCTTTCGATGACAATTATAGTGCGATTTTATGTGTGAAACCTAATTTTTGTTCAATTTTTTGCAATTGTAGTATGATTTTGGAGAAGAATACTTCAGAGACGAGTAATTTGTTGAAAATTTCTGAAGAAATGTATGAACCCTAACTTTTGTAAAACCTAATTTGTTCATATTCTTGCGATGAAAATTATAGAGCGAATTTATTTGTAAAACCTAATTTTTGTTAAAATTTTTTGCGATTGTAGTAATTGTTCTAAGATTTTACTGAAAATAACTAAAACATTAACAATTTATTAAATAAAACAGAGACGATGATGATGATGTACCTCTTCAGTCAAGAGTAGACAAATTGAAAAAAAACCGCCAAAATGATCCAATTGTAGATCCGGAACTTTTAAAAGATATTGACAAGTCAATTGGTACGGATTTAACAATGTCTCCACTACCAAGGTAATTAGTCATTTACAGAATATATTATGTTCATGTCTAATATGCTAGTTGTATTTGATAAAATTGGTTTTATCTTTGTTTAATATGTTATTTGTATATGATCATATTTGATACTCATAATGTTCATTTATAGATATAGTTATGATCATATATTTATATTTGTTCATATGAGTATTTATTGAGATTTAAAAAAAAAGTACATTTCATTGAAACATCATTGTATATGATCATATTTGATACTCATAATGTTCATTTATAGATATAATTATGATCATATATGTATATTTGTTCATTTGAGTATTCATTGAGATTTAAATAACAAATATACATTTCATTAAATCATCATGCACATATATAAATATGATAATAATCATTTCAGTGATATGCATTCAAACTAATGTCATGTAATTAATTTATAATGTAGTGATGTGCCATTTAGAGTGATACACTTGCTTCAATTTAGAGATGGGAAATCTGAACCATTAACTCTAAAGAAGGTTATAGAACAAAATGAATATGGTAATAGTTATGAAAGATACACTTTAAACAAGTAAGTTTATATGTATAAAATAATTGTTTTTACATTCAATTATTGTACATTGTATATATATACCAAACTTATTAGGTAATTCTTAAAATTTTAGTGAAAAAAAAGGTTCGAGTGAAATTTGTTATGTCAAAATCAAGACCACCAGAGACAAATCAAACAATAAGGTATAAAAGCTTTATACAAAATAACTAATTATCTTCTTCATTGTATAAATTAGTTCATACTTTAATATCATATTATATAAAATAATTCTGTTTTTTTTAAGTGAACAAAGTGAGAACATTCCTGCTACTAATGCAACAACTAAGAGTGTGTCTGCTACACATAACACAACTGACAAAGAGAGTAGGGATGAAAGGTTTACTAATGATCAATTTTATATAAACAAATGTTCATTTTTATAACAGTATATTTTATGTACAATTTATGTGCATTTTTTATTTAAAGTATTTCTTAATATTGATTTCAGCAAGCAAGAAGAAGTTCAACCAAAAGTGCAAAGCAATCCAGTAAAGAATAGTCTTGGCCAAAAGTAAGAAAACTTAAATGTTCAATTTAGATAGACTATATGTTCATTTGAAAATCAGTACAAAAAAGTTTGCTCATGGCCAATAGTAATATAAGTTATATGTTCATTTTTTTATTTACTAATCAAAATTGTAAATTCAAACATATTTTTAATGAAATATCAGAAAACCCAAAGATGATTCAAGAATAACAACATTAAAGGACAAGATGCAAGAAATACATTTAGACATAGAGAGAAACCCAAAGTATGTTTAAATTTAAATAATTGAATTAATTTAATCAATTAATGAATATATTTCAAAGTTAATATCATACATTTACAGAAAGTACAAAGAATCGACAATCAGAATTATGAGAAATCTCAAAAGAATGGAAAAGGCAAGCAAGGAAATCAGGAAAGGTAAATGATCATATTTATTGAATATTTTTGTTTAATAGTCATAAATATCAATTTTAACAATACTATTACTTTTGAAGGTGAAGCAAAAAAGAAAGAAAAAGGGCCAATAGAAGAGAAAACTGTGGAAAAAGGTAAAAATTTTAAAATGTACATTTTTATTACAAAAAATGTTCATATTGGAAAAGCATAATATTAAATATTCAATAAGATTATAAAAATTAAATTTTAACTAAATAAATTTTAATAGAAGGACAAGAAGGAAAAAAAGGGACTGAAAAAGAGAAAAGCCCTAAAGACAAAACTGTGGAAGATGTCTTTCCAAAGACAACAAATGTAGAAGGTAAAAATTTATAAATGTACATTTTTATTACATAAAATGTTCATATTGGATCTACATAATATTGAATGTTCAATAAGATTAAAAAAATATATAAATATTAACTAATTAAATTTTCATAGAAGGACAAGAGGGAAAAAAAGAGCCTGAAAAGGAGAAAATCCCTAAAGAGAAAACAGTGGAAGATGAGTCTACAAAGACAACAGATCCGAAAGGTAAATAGTGGAAAATGTACATATTCATTACCTGAAATGTTCATTTATATTGTATATAGTAAACATTTGTCATCCAATTTAATAAATGTTTATTTAATCTTTTATATTTGATCATTTCATATGCAGCACAAATTGCACCTGATTTTGTTCAAATTGAGGATGAAACTTATCTTCTAGATCAAGATGATGATAAAGTTTCCACAAAACTTAGTGAGGAGACAGCTCCATCATCACAAAAAAGTGATCAGTCAACCAAAATGAAAACAAGATACAAAATGGTTGCAAGGAAAAACAAAAACAAAAGCCTTGTTGTTGTGCCAAGTGGTAGAATTACAAGGAGCCAAGGTAATCATAATACTTTTCTGTTACACAATAAATATTACACTTTCAAATATACTAACATAAATTTTTTTAAAAACAATAGATGTTCTGTTAGATGAATCTGAAAAGGGAAGCCTGAAGAAGGATGTTGAACCTGCTAAAGAAACCGCAAAAATAGGACAGAAGAGAAGAATGTCTACAAGGAATTTTCCTATTCAAAAGGAAGCTGATGCACCACCTCCAGCACCTACTCCAATAAAAAAAATGGCAGGTGCTCCTGCTGAATATCCTCCAGACCAAGGCAAAAAGGGTAAATGTTCAATCTTAATGTATAGAATGATCATTTATGATGGTATATCATTAATGTTCAATTTCAATATATAGGTGGGAAAAAGAAAACTCTAGAAGAAGTGAAGAAAACTTCTAAGGTTGCTGGCAAAAGAAAAGCAGGTATATAATGATATATTATAAATGTTCAATTTCTATATATAGAATGATCATTTGAGAAAACAATTTTGTTCATTTTATCATTTGCTTACTGTACATTTTCAATACTTAAACAAAATTATATATTTAATTTTCAGATGTCAGTCCTGCCAAGAGAAATGCTGGAAAGAGAAAAAAAATACAAGAAGTACCATCAGATGAACCCTCTCAAGATCCTACTGATGAAAGTTCTACTGACAGTGATGATGATAGTGAAGAGTCAGTTTATAGAGCAGAAGAAGAGCCTGTCAGTGAGGATGATTATGAGGTGGAGGAAGAGGAGGAAGAGGAAGAAGTAAAGCCAAGGAAGAAACAGGCAAAGAAAGGGAATTCAGTGAAGGCAAAGGTTGAAAAGGAGGAGCAAAAGATGGTACTGTATGATGAAGGAAAGATTGAAGGTAGGAGAAAAAAGAAAATGAAAACTGAAATGGTTCAAGCAATAGAAACTGATGAAGTTGAGGAAATTCAGGAAGATGAATTTGAGGAAGAGAAATCTTCAAAGAGAGGAGGACATGTGAAGTTCATTGCATGGATAAAAAAGATGACACCTACCCAAAAACAACAAGTTATTGATATAGGGTTAGGATCACTTCTTGACATTAGTTTACCTCAACTTGATCAAAAGTTCTGTAACTGGTTATTGGGAAGTTTTGAAGAAAATAGCCAGTGTTTTGAACTACCAAAGAATGAAAAAATAGAAATTGAGGTAGAGGATGTTAGGGTAGTTTATGGCTTGCCTACAGGAGAAATTCCAATTGTTGAGCCAAAGTCTGATAAAATTAGTGAGGAGTATGCAGAATTTCTGAAGAAATGGAGAAAATCATGGTCAGGAAAAACTCCATCAGTGAGTCAGGTATGATCAGTTTTAAATGTTCATTTTAAATACATTAAATGATCAAAAGTATAAATGTTTTGTTCATTTTGTTTGCAGATTGTGAATGGATACATAAATGATAAATTCACCAACAACAGACCACCAAGTGAACATTTCATTACTAACTTTTTAGCAGTGGCTGTGAACTGCTTGATGAAATGTGTATCAAACAATCAATGCCATTTCAAATTTCTTTATTCTATGATGGACAAAGAAAACATAAAAAATTTGAACTGGTGTCAGTTTGTATATGACTCACTTATCAAATGTCATGTTGATTGGAGAAAGCAGCAAGGCAAGGGGTTCTACAAAGGCCCTCTTCAATTTCTGATGGTATATTCTTAGATACAAGATGTTCATTTAAATTTAAATAAATGCACTTTTTTTTATTGTTTATGTTCTGTTCCATGTTTTCTTTTTTCTTGTAGTTGTTCTATTTTGATAGAGTTCAGAGGTTAGACAAAAGGCCTCCAAGAACAATTCCTATCATATCTGCATGGAATAGAGACATGGTTCTTGAGAGGTTGAAGATTGAATTAGAATTGGGATTTGGGAGAGGGAAAATTCTACCAAGGATTGCTGCAGAAGTTGAAGAAAGTCCTAAGGTTATAAAATGATCACTTTTGTTAACATAAATGTTCATTTGTATAATCTGAAATGTTCAACTGCATAATTTTTAATATTCATTCATATAGGTTTTTATGGATGATTTTGTTTCCCTGGTAAAAACAACTTGTTCAAACCTGTCAAAGCTTTCTTCAAAATTGGTGAAGGCAAAGGATATCTTCCCTGGAAATGACTTGGTGAAAAAAGTTGATGAAGTTTTAGGAAAGGTGGTAGCTAGGGAACCATCAATTCTAAGCCAAGATGAAGAATTCTTTGGCAGTGAGGATTTCCTAAATGCACTTGCACAAGCTGAGAAGAATCTGATGCAAGGGTCTGAAAAGCAAACAACTGAGAAGCAAATGACTGGGAAGAAATTAACCAAAAAGGGAAAGGAAAAAGAACAAGAATATGACATCAGAAAAGCTTTCAGCTTGGGGTTGACTCCACCTTCTCCAGCCATTGGTAAATTCTAACTAAAAGAGACTATATATCCTAATTTTTATATGAAAAATTCTAAATTTGTGGTCTAAATTGTCCTAAACAGAAACAGGGCCCACCTTTTCAACACTTGGTGATATAATTGAACAACCAATAATTTCAACAAATGGTAATATGTTCATATATTTAATAATAATGTACATAAACTTAAGTAGAAATGTTCATTTCTAATTATTATGTGTAAATACTATTAACTTAGTGTATCTCCAAAATGATGATTTATAATACAGCTGGAGAAAAGGATGTGGGTAAAACTTCAGCAGCTTCAGAACAAAGAATTGAAGAATTTTCTAGAACTGGTATAATGTTCAATTAAAAAGTGTAAAATGTTCATTTACAAACAAGAAATATTCATTATTAATTGTATTTTTTTGTTAGACGCAGCAACTGGTTCAAAATTTGATGCTGACACTAGGTCAGATAATGAAGGATTGCCTAGAACAGGTATAATGTTCAATTATAAATACTCAAATGTTCATTTACAAAGAAATTATATTATATCTAATTAAATTTTTTCTTAGATGCAGGATCTGGTTCAGTGGTTGATGCTGACCCTAGGTTAGATGGTGGTGAAAAAAGTGATGATCCAAAAAACACAGTTGGAGGTGGAAAACAAAACAAGGAAGATGTTTTTGAAAAAACAAAAAATGATGAAAAAGTGGAGGGGTAAAATCCTGAAGACATGTCTTACTATTAGGGTTATGTAATGGTGTAGGATAAAATATCTAGATGGAACAATTTAACTTATGTTACTATCGTGTTGTAACTTGAAACTGGTGTTTCTCAAACTATTGTATGTGTGAACATTATTTTGTTGAATATGTAATATGAATGTGTGGTTTATGTTAAATCAATAGGTTTATGTTAAATCAATATCTTTCATTTTATGAATTGAAAATGATTCAGGGTGTTACATAAGAAGCTTTTATTTTATTAATATGTACTGACATTGTTTCACTTTTCAGTGAAAACAAGAAGATTGTTGCTTCATCCTCAAAAGTCACAAAAAGGTACATTATTTATATTAAGTAAATGTTCAAAAATAATAATGAACATTTTCATATACCTAAATGTACATTTGTGTTATGTAATATGACCAGGAATGATGATAAGAAAAAGTCAATTGCAGAAAAGAAGAAAAAAACTGAAAAGGAAAAGGTTGAAAGGTATAATTTCAAATTTATTTATATACACTCAAATGTTCATTTATGTTCCTCATAATTTTCTTAATTTAACAATATTTTATATTGAACAACAAGACCAAAACGCGAAAAGAAAACAATTCCTCCTGCTTTCCGATCTCCTTACTTGGTCAAGTACAAGGATCTGTTTAAAGATGAGAAAGCCATGAACCAAATTGCAGTAGACTTTGCTCTTGGTGGAAAAGATGAAAGGTAATTACTTACACTAATTAAACTTAAGGTTTAATATCTTTTATAAAAATATGTTCACATTCATATTATTAAATGTTCATAATGCAGTGCACTCTTATACTATGATGGCTTGAATCTCATCAATAGAAATGAAATGAAAACTCTTGGAGATGATGTTGAAGTGACAAATTGTGTCATAGATGGATGGGCAAGGTTTCTTAATCATAAAAAGCCGAGAAACAAGATTTATTTCTCAACAGTGCTTCATGTTAGTCTTTCTTCTTTTTTTATATTATTGATTCTATTTTCCTATGATAAATAATTGCTAAAAATTCATTTAACTTCTATATGTTTGTTTGTATTTCAACAGCACATTATGTGCACAAATAGAGTTTGTCAAGAAGGATCATCAATGAAGACAAGAATTAATGCCTTCATAGAAAGAATTGACAATGAACTGAAGTTGAATAAAATTGACAGCATTGTTGGATATAAACAGGTATTAATTCTTGTTTAATACAAATGTTCAATTACCTTCAATATATTGTCCAATAACATTATATAATTTGTTCAGGTCTTCTTCCCAGTATCAACTTCTCAACATTTTTTCTGTTGTGCGTCAATCATATAGAAGACAAAATTCATATAATTGACAATAGAAAACTACCAAAAAAGGTATCAGTCCAAGAAAAATATGAAGAACAACCAAAAATGATGGTGAGATAATATGTTCATTTATAGTTGACTACATGATCAATTATATTTTATTAATTGTTCATGTCTTCATCACAATACAAACTTCTAAACAATTTTTACTCTTTTTTCTATCAGTTAAAAGGATTGGCAGAGTACATGAAACACCTTGGATATCAAGATGCAAAAAGAATTGAAGACTACACAGTTGTTTTGGAAAAGATGAAATGGCGTAGCAACAATGACTATACAAACTGTGGAGTTTACATTATGAAGCATATGGAAACCTTCACTGCTGATCCTAATGAGAGCTGGATTTGTGATTTAAAACCAAACAATGTAAGAGTTATAAATGATCAATTATTTAAGATATAATATTCATTTATGAAACAGTAAAGATTGTTTAATTAAAATTTGACAATTCATTTTGTTCAACAGGTGGAACAAATTAGAAATCTAAGGCTCCAATACACAGCAGAACTGATGTTATTTGAAGAAAACACTGAATCAAGAGCAAATAGAAGGAAAGCTAGAAAATTTGCAACTTTGTAGTTTCAAATGTTCATTTACAACTATGTATATGTTCCTTTCTTATATATGACTATTTTTTTTTTTTAGAAGTAGACTTATGGATTTTATTTTAATATTATTGTAATTGATATTTCATTTTAATCTTTGAATGAAAGTTTTTTATATAATAGATCGAAAATTCAAAATTACAAAATAGTAATTAAATCAACATTACAAAAAAGTCTAATGTTTATAAAGTTCTGGAATACTAATTATTTATCTTTATTAGCCAAACGTTTAGCTACACTTGTATCAAAAAAGGCTAACAACCTATCATATTTAGAAGAAATCTTTTTAGAACCTAATTGAACATTTCTTGATTGAAGAATTGGAACACGAGCACCTTGATCATTTCTTTGAACTGTGGGAGGAGTAACTTGAACATTCTGAACAGGAAATCCTTGATCATTTATTTGAACCGTAGGAGAAATAACTTGAACATTTGTTGATTGAACATTCCTGGAGTTGGATATGATCATTTCTGGATTGGTGTTTGAACAATTCTGAGTTTGATTTTGAACATTCCTGGGAACAGTAGGTTGAATAACAACAGGAGATTTTGTTGACGCACTAGTATGAATTGGAACTCTTGGATTAATTTGAGAGTAAGTTTTAACACCAGAAGCACCTTTATTTGCACCAAAATTAGAACAAGGTTGAACAGCAGAAACACCTTCAAGATTTAAATCCTTCGCCTTTAAAAAAAATTAAATTGATCATTAATAAACCAGTATATGATCAGTTACAAACACTTATACAAACAAATATGGAAAAAAAAAACCTTAGCAATAGATGAAATATCAACATCAATAGATATGATAGATGAAAGAGAGCTTTCACCAGTAGCCTACAAAAAAACCAAAAAAAAATATAAAAAATAAAAAATTAAATAAAAAAAAATTATAATATAGATCATAAATGTTCATATACCTGATCAAAATCATTGGAAATACTATGATTTGATTCCTTAGAACTAGAAGGAATTTCTTCTACAACAGCTGATTTTAAGCCGGCCTATATTTTTAAATTATAAAAATCAATATTAATAAAATATAAATAAAATGTTTTTTTTGGCACATTTGAATTTACCTGAGCCCGTTTATTGCTCAAAACAATCAATTCAATGGGATCACTAATAGAATTAGCATAAGTAACAACACAACCGTTCTCATCAAGTTCCTATTTTAAAAAAAAAAAACATAAATGATCATTTACGAAAACTGAAATGATCAATTTGAAAATATGAAATGATCATATACCTGTACAACTGCTTGCCCTATACCCCTTTTGTAAGGAGTGTACAGAGACTTTTTCCTCTTGAAATTACCCTTTGCCTTGTTACACTGCTTCTCCAAGGTACTCTTAGGCCTTACATTCCTCTCACCTTTAGGCCTAGCTTTTGGAGGATTCTTGATCTCAAGATCAACAATTTCAACCTCTTTAACAGGTTCACTAAAGTCAATTACACCTGATACACTCTCAACCTTTTCTTTTAACAGATTGAAATAACACTCAACCTCTGCCCTTGCATTCAAAGAATTCTGACAACTTGTTATCAACTTAACAAACTTTCTGATTGTTTGTGACCTCCAAACACTAGTAGCCACAACATTTGTCCTCAAAGTAGGTTCTTCAATACCATGACTACACATGGCAGCCTTTGTCCATCGTTTCATTGTATACTCTTGTGGAATATTACGCACACAATGCAAATGATATACTCGAAGAGAATGAGAACAAAGTAAACCAGTCTCACTAAAGTACATGCATGTGCAACAAATTGCATGTGTTTCCTTATTAAAAACAACTTCATGCTTAATTATATCCTTCCCAGGCCTCCAAAGAAGATATGAATATTCTGGAAAACGCAAACCATTATCAACATGATCATAAGCTGTCCCCCTAATGAACTCCTCTTCAAAAAGAACATAAGCTTGAATAGTGTACAATGATCTTGCATGAACTAATATACCAATATTAGCAAAAGCTAGGTGCCTATTACCCCTCAGGGTATTGTAATCTCTTGCACCTTCCTTACTTCTCCACTCAGAAATGACATCAAGAAAAACATGATAAAAATCACATAAACCTTGAGTCTTATTAAGACGTTGTGAAACTGACTTATTAGTAGTTTCACTACGTTGAGAAGACAATATACCACCAGACCAATACTTCTTAGAATAAGCAGGACACCACATTTCCTTTATTTTATACAAATCACATAACCAATCATCATTTTCACATTTGTATTTATCACACATCCTGTATAACAGAAATGATCATATATTAATTTAAAAATGAACAAAATATAAATTAAAATATGTACATTTGTGTAAAGAATAATGATCATAAACAATATGGACACTAATAATATTATGATAACATACATAACAAAGTAAATTGTATGATCATATGTAAAACACTAAATGTTCATATATATATCACATAATAATCAAATATATCACATAATAAAAATAAAAAATAAATACAAAAAACAATAATTTACCTTTTCCAGAAATATTCAAATTCAGCAGGAGTTTCACAATACTTCAAAAGATATCCAAACAAATCTGTAAAGCCTTCCAAAGCTCTCAATGCTCCAATGTGTTTCTTAGAATTTTGTTCAAGATGCCATACACATAAACGATGATGAACAGTTGAAGGAAAAATGTTTCTTATACCCGCTGCAATCGCTTGTGCTTGATCAGTCATAATTGTAATGGGACTTTTCCTCCCCATTGAGTGCAAAAATGTATCAAACAACCAATCAAAAGACTCGGTGCGCTCATTAAGAATAAATCCCATACCAAACATGACATTGTTACCATGATGGTTCATCCCAACAAATGGAGCACATATCATTCCATATTTATTAGTTCTATAAGTTGTATCAAAAACCAACAAATCTCCAAAGTAATGATAATCTCTCATCATCCTACCATCACGCCAAAAAAAACTAACTAAAGCACCACTATCATCTTGTTCAAAATCATAATAAAAATCTGTCTCATCCACATGTCTCTTGGCAAAATATTTAATCAATTGGTTACCATCACATCCTTCAATTTGGGCATCTTTTTCAGATGACAATGCATTATAAGCATCAGAAGCAGTAAAACAAAGATTAGGAGATCCCCCAACCTCCTTCTTTAGAACCCTCAAAGAATCAATAACTTTGACTCCACTCAATTTCATTGTTGAAATGAAAAGAAGCTGCTCTTTATTCACATCTCTTTGAGACCTTATCAAATGCCTTTTTTCAGGAGGAATCATAGCATGATTATGAACCATTTCATGTCTTGTACATGTATAGACCCCTAAATGATCAATATGAAACTGCACAAAAGCTAAACAACCAGTTCGATGATCCAACTTCTCATAAATCCTTTTATTCTTACACTTATTATCTTTGAATCCCTCATTACAACAAACAAATCTTTTCATCAAAAAAGAATCATCTCTTCTTCTCTTACTCTTCCCAATTCGAATTCCAAAACCTTTCCTAAAAGCATATTCATTATACGCTTCGAAAGCTTCATCTTCAGATTTAAATTCTTTATCCTTTAATTCAGACTGTTCTGCTTCTAAATACATAATATCATCATTTTTTCCACTGCACAATATACAATTATAAATGATCATAAAGAGTTTCATGAATGAACAATAACAAATAAGTAAAATGTTCAATATCAAAACAGCACATGATCAATTGCAAAAAGAATTTCAGCACATAATATTTTGAACAATATTTTCATTATTTACCACTACACATAATATCGATATAAAAATGTAAAAATAAATGATCAAAAATTACTTTAAGACTGAACATAAACACATTAGTAACAATGAATAAGAAAACATAAACGATTAATTGAAAGTATAATTTACAAAATATACGACAAAAACACACAATTCTAAAACACAGAGAAAACAACAAATGAAACAACAAATGAAGCAACAAAATGTTCATACAAAGTACAACAATCCAAAAACGTTCATCATAATGTAATCAAAGTAGTAAATTCAAAAATCGAAAGTGAATAATAATACATCAATTAAGTTCAAATTAACAGAGCATTATAACAGAACAAATTAGGGATAATTAAAAATTGAAAAATTATGATCACAATTACTCACATTGTTGCACAAACGAATCAACGAAACAAATTCCAGAAGGAAACACACGCTCGCAATCGCGATCAAAATCAACGCAATCTCCAGATGCAGAATTCGCCATTGATGATCGGTAACAATTAACGAATTCGTTCAAAAAATCAAATGAAGAAGATGAATTAGCGAGAGAAAAATGTAGATCAAAAATGGAGGTTGGTTGATCAATTGAAGAGAGAGAAAAAATAGGGTTTAAAATCATATATATACATAAATTGAATAATAAGAATCAAAGGAAAAAGGAAAAAAGAGGAAGAAAAGAAAAAAAGAAAAAAAGGAAAAAAAAAAAAAGGAAAGAATCGCAAAAGGGAACTCAATACCAGCTACAAAACGACGTAGCATAGGGGGGGTGTAGGGAACACACCCTACACTAGGGTGTAGGGTAAAATTTTCAGAAGTTATGGCCAATTTACTGAACTGGGCCCGGTTTGAGCCTTATATGCGGCCCAATGATCTAGGGGAGGGCCTAATATAGATTTATCATTCCTAATGCAATTAGGAATGATTTTAATCTTCTAGATTCTTCTAGAAGGTTCTTTTCATTCCTAATTCAATTAGCATTGATAAATTGACTTTTGTTGACTTTTCAGAGTTCTAATTAAGATCAAAGAGCATTTTTGAGGGAAATACGATTTTATCCTCCTGTACGGCAATTTTTATCTGATTTTAAGAAAACGCGTGAATTTCCAGATCAGCGCCAAACGCCAGCTGTAGCGCCTGGCGCTACGCTTGGCGCCTGGCGCTACGCTTGGCGCCTGGCGCTAGCATTGGCGCCTGGCGCCAATAGCCAGCGTTGGCGCTAATTCAGTTTCACGTGCGCGAGACTCTGTTTTGATATTTTATCTTTTTGGCTGATTTTCTCTATAAATAACGTACTAAAAACTCCGTTTTCGATAACTAGTTTTCATCTAAAAACCAGTGTTCACCTACAATCATCAATTCTCTCTTATTCTCTCTTTCACCAACTCTCATCAAGATTTCCTTGATTACTCTCTCTCTCTTTTTCTAAACTAGCTTTTCTCAAATATAAAAATTCCGCATTCGTTAGATTTAGAAACACCTAGCCATATTCGAAGTTGCCTTCGCCCTAGACGTGAAAGGTTTTAATTTCTGAGGGTTTGGTCCCAAATCTCTCTTTCAATTATTTAATTTGATTGTTTGCTTATTATTTTCCTTGAAGTTACTAACGTGTGTATTTTGTTATTAGAAAGAGGTACGAGGCATCCAAGTAAGTATTTTAATGGTTTTTATTGATGTTATGATATAGAAATCATGTTTAGGTTGTCGTTATGATATTCCTAGTATCATGTCTAGGGTAACTTTAATACTAAGTATGATTGTTACGATGCCTTTTATGTTCTTCCTAATATTTATGATTGTTAGTATCATGTTTGGGTTAAAGATTTGATTTTTATTGCTTAGTGACATGCTAGGGTTTGTTATTAATCTTGTTAGTATCGTGCCTAGGATCTTGCTATTATTATGCTTTAACATGAATATTATGATTATAATTTCGTGATTATGAATATTATTATTATTATCTATGATTATTTATTATGTTGCTTGATATTATTTATTGTTATTGCTTGATCACACCTTTTATGCATGTTTAAAGGGAATTGGTACTTGTAATCACGCTTAATAAGATAATTAAATATCTTATTTAGGGTTAATATGATTATAATTCAAGTGATCGCCAATAATAGATTTATTTGTGCATTAAATTCAACCAACATAGATAAACAGGTTTAGGGTTAACCTATTGATTGCATGTTAGTCAGAAAGCGCACATGAATACGATCAGAATAAAGTAGAGGCCTATTATTAGGGCAGGTTCAATCTCTTTTAGGTTGGATTTGTACCTTCATCCCCGAACCCTATTTGGTTCAAGACCTTATGGAGTTGACGATCTCTTGGATCGTTAAAGGGGTGTAACCTTTACCTTGTGAACGGTTTACAAGTTCCTAAAAAAACTTGTTGGCGAATCTTTTGCTCTATATTCTTCCCTTTTGGACGCCACCGTACTTTAGTGTATGATCACAGTGGGGTTCAAGCTAGGGGATTAACGCTTGAAATATTCCCTACAGGTTGTAATTTTGGTGGTGACGCGGTTGTACTGCTGGTTATTAGAGATGGCTCTTCTTCTTTCTATGATGTGCCTGCCTTGTTGTGGCATGACAAGACTGCAAGAAGAGATTTTTATCCCTCTTGCTAGTGTTTGAGAAATGACTAGCTTTGCGGAGAGGAATTTCGATCACTCTCGTTGAAGTCTGGGAAATGACAAACTTGTGGAGAGGAATTTCGATCACTTCCACTGAATTCTGATAAATGACGAACTTGCGGAGAGGAATTTCGATCACTCCTGCTGAAGTCTGAGAAATGACAAACTTGCGGAGAGGAATTTCAATCACTCCCGCTAAAGTCTAAGAAATGACTAACTTGCGGAGAGGAATTTCGATCAATCTCGTTGAAGTCTGAGAAATGACGAACTTGCAGAGAGGAATATCGATCACTCTCGCTGAAGTTAGAGAAGTGACGAACTTGCGGAGAGGAATTTAGATCACTCCTGCTGAAGTTTTTTTTTTTTATTATTGCGAAAACAGTGTTTGCATGAGTGGGACACGTGTCGATCATCCGAGCCGTCAATTTGATTTTATTGAAGTGACATGGCAGTTTCGCTTCATTTCTTGCCCAACCGCCCATTTACTCCCTATCAAATTCACTATCCATTTTTTCATTTCTTTTTACCCTCACAATATTTTTCATCTTCCTTTCCTTCTTCGTTCTTTTCAAAATTTTCGCTCTTCATCTTCTTCTCAGACGTGCGTCACTCCTCCATTGCTGTGGTAAGTTCTTGCTTTTCATCCTCATTCCTGATTTATTTTCTTATTGTGTTTGTTAACTTCCTTTTACACTTCTTCTTCGCTGAATTGCTTTTCTTTTTTGGTTGCAGTTTGAAAGCTTATTCTCTGATTGGTTTCTTGGGTTGCCATTGTTGTTGTAACCTGTTGTTTATGCAACTTCTTGTCATAAAGGTATTAACTTTGTACCTTTTCTTGTATTTGTATGTCCAATTTTGCTTCTTTGTGTATTTTTCCTCGTAAAATTGCGTCTTTTTGTCGATTTTGACTGCCATTATCATGTTTTCCCCTGTTATTGTTGTATTTGTATTCTTGGTTCTTTCTTTTCACTCTTCCCCATTGTCTTTATCAAGTAAACTGACTTTTGTTTTTCGGCTCCCCATTTTTTTATTCTTCTTTTGGGGCTTTTTAGTCTTTGTAGATTTTAGAATGTCTGACGCTTCTGATAGTCAAAATATGAAAGAGCCCCGCGCGGCCACTGAGTAAGACTCTTCTTCTTCCGAGTATTCTCGTTTAGGTGAGCGCTCTACGCACACTCCTTTTACTTCTCTTGCTTCTTCCGCCCTTCCTATTCAAATGGTTATGTATTTTGATCATCCCCCGCTGCGAGCAGGGCGGGTATTCCCATGGCTTCTTCTTCTCCTCTTAAGACGGGTAGTAGTCGCCATGCTGAAAGCAGTGCGTTCCGCCCTTTTCGACCTAGTCCTCGTCCTGACTTCTTCAACCCTTACTGTAAACGGGAACTATTCCAGGACGGGGTGCCCATTCCCCACCTCGCCCGTTTAAGGAGGTGCGCGATGCGCCATGAGATTTTGGCTGACATGGTTAAGGCTAATCCCCCTGATGTTTCCCTTATTAGCCCCATTCCCCATGTTCACCCTTTAAACTCTTTTGCTTGGCTTGATCACATGGATGACATACATCGGTTTGACCAATATGTAGTACGTGGTGGGAACGTTGCTACGACTTCGTTGTCTCCTTCTCCTGCTGCTGCCTCAGACAGAATGGCCGAGTCTCCCAGTAAGCGCGCCTTTTATGATTGTGAGCCTACATATGTGGTTGAGCCTGTTGAGGAGGGCAAATCTGAGTTCTTTTTGGATGAAAAATGCCATGGTCCCAAGAGCTGTGTGCTGGATTCTAATTGGCGTAAGGATGCCAGGAGGTCAAGGCTATGAGATAGTCCTTCCTGCTAAGGGTGCAAAGCTGTTTGCTCCTCCGGCTGGTCACATTGCGTGCAGTATTTGCTTCCCAGCCGACCTAGGTTTGAGGTTTCCTCTTGACCCCACCCTGGAGAAGGTATCTCGTGCTTTCAACCTTTGCATTGCTTTGCTGCACCCTACTACTCTGTATACTCTGATATGCTTGTTTTGGTTTCTACGGTTTCGGAGATATCTTGAGTCCTTGCACCTATTTACGTCTTTAATGAGCTTGAAAAGGTCTGCTTCCGATTCTGTGTCTGGATGGCATTACGTGGCCCCCAAGGAGGGCAGAGTTTTTACCCGAAGCTTGACTGCTTTTGGGATTATACTAGTAAATTCTTTTGGGTTAAGGTGCCTTCCTCTTTTGTTGTACCGCGTAACTTTCGGAAGATTTGCACCAACATGGCTGGTGTTACTGTTTCCCCATCTGAGCTTGTTCGTGATACAGAAGCCTTTGATGGTTTTTAGGGAGCGGGAACGGGTGATGCAAAGTTTTCCAAAATTTAGCTGCCTAACTCTCTATACATTGTAGGCAACGAGCAGCTCTCTGCCATGCAGTTATGTTATACACATGAGTCTGGTAAGGTTTGTTTTTCTTTTTTGCACATTTAATAAGTATTCTTCTTTTTTTTCTTCTTTCTGTTTTATTACCTTACGCCTTTTGTCTCTTGGCCAGCTGTTTTTCAGGTTACGACAAGCGGGACAAGCGCATTCTTGGGCCGGCTGACAACTAGAAGGATCCCCTTACTGCCACTCTTGATAACCCCCAGAACTTTTTAAGACCTTAGATGTTTATGCTTGTTCTATGAAGAAGGAGGTGCGCTTGGCTCCAGCCGAGCTGCGGGCTGTCTTTGGTACTGTGACAGCTGCTGACCGCGCAGGGTCTAGCCATGCTGAGGCTGAACCTTCCTCCAGCACTATTAGGAGTCGGCGTGAGACTCGCCCTGCACCTAGGGAAATTGCTTTAGGGTCTGAGGCATTAGTGGCGCAGGATGCTTCTCCTAAGA